TGTGAAAGGCAGGACATTCTGCTGGATTGTCAGACTTTCCAGCACAGCGTTGGAGCTGAAATGGGCTGTGGTCCGTGAAGGTCTGGGGTCAGAACAAAGATCATAAGCTCTGATGTCTTTACCTGGGTTTCACTTATTTCTGGCTCAGGAAAAACACTCGTGAAATCAGCATGTGATTTGCTTTTCGGTTTTTCCTCTTTTTTTTTCCTTAAAAAAAAAAAAATACTGTATATACTCTCGGAGAGAGAAGTTGAACGAAGGTACGAAGCCTACAACGGCATGAGAAGCAGCAAAATGAGTGGATAAAATAAAAGGGAATCTGGCAGGGTTTTATTTTGAGGTCACAGTGCCCTCCTGCGGTGACGTCTGCTCAGCGACCCGCACAGCGCCCCGTACTTTTCAAGCTTACTTACTTAGACAGCAGCGCACGCACAACCTAAAGGCCCGACTCCTTCTCCTCTGCTTTCCGAGCGCTCCCCCGCGCTCCCGAACAACTCCGCCCGCCGTCGGAGCGCGCTTCGGCGGCGCGCCGCCGCCGACGCGGCGGCGACGTCACGGCTGCGTTGCAGGGACGCGCTCTGGCAGCACCCCCGCGGGTGTCCTGCCGGCCGTGCCTGGCAGAAATTTCCCTGCAAGAAATTCGTGCCACCTCAGGTGCCGCTTCAGGGCCGAGCGACCAAGTTAACCGAATCGCAACACCATGCTTTCGCTTAAAATACGATGTCCAGGCTCGGCAGGCGGTGCCTGTTTCTCTGCAGGGAGTCGTTCTGCCTCACTAGAGATCAAGCCAAAGCCCACCGAGGTCGCTGGAAATCTTTCCTCTGCTTTGCTTTCCACGCCGATACATCAGTGCTTTCTAGAGCACGCTTGCAGAAGTGGGCCTAGCCTGATCAGAGGAATTCAGGCGTCTAGAATCATAGAATCGTAGAATGGTTAGGGTTGGAAGGGACCTCAAAGATCATCTAGTTCCATCTACGTGCTGCATCTTTTTTCTTCAAGAAGTTGTTTTAGGTTGCACGTTCTTTAGGGCAAGAATTAAATTTTCCAGCACATGCAGTGCTAAGTCATTGAACAGCGGTTAATACTAACCAGCCATCCCTACGTTTGTATTAACAAGTCTTCCAAGAATATGGCGTCACTTCTGGTGTGGGATGGACATTCTTGTCTCCATGGAGGGACACTTGGCCCCGGAGACTGTGATCACCTCTGATCACATACTGAGTCTGCACCAGCATCAGTCCTCAGCCTACATCACTTCCCTCCTATTGCCGCAGCTCAGGCACCTGAGTCGTCCCTTTCTCTCCCCTTTTCCCTGCCCCGAGTATGCTTTAGTCTATGTCAGAGCAAAACTGCCTTTGACTCCTTCCTTTCCTTTGCCAAGTATTTTTGTGTTAATATGTTTTTATCAGTATTTCACTCCCATAATATATCATTATTTCACTCCCATATCATTGGGAATGCTGGTGGATGAGAAGCTCAACATGAGCCGGCAATGTGTGCTGGCAGCCCAGAAAGCCCATCGTATCCTGGGCTGTATCAAAAGGCGCATGGCCAGCAGGTCGAGGGAGGTGATCCTGCCCCTCTACTCAGCTCTCGTGAGACCCCACCTGGAATACTGCGTTCGGCTCTGGAGTCCTCAACACAAGAAGGACATGGAGCTGCTGGAGCGAGTCCAGAGGAGGGCCATGAAGATGATCCAAGGGCTGGAGCACCTCTGCTATGAAGACAGGCTGAGAGAGTTGGGGCTGTTCAGCCTGGAGAAGAGAAGGCTCCGGGGTGATCTTATTGCAGCCTTCCAGTACCTGAAGGGGGCCTACAGGAAAGCTGGAGAGGGACTTTTTACAAGGGCGTGTAGTGATAGGACAAGGGGCAACGGATTTAAACAGAAAGAGGGCAGGTTTACGTTAGATATAAGAAAGAAATTCTTTACATTGAGGGTGATGAGGTACTGGAACAGGTTGCCCAGAGAAGTTGTGGATGCCCCGTCCCTGGAAGTGTTCAGTGCTAGGTTGGATGAGGCTTTGGGCAGCCTGGTGTAGTGGAGGATTTTCCTGCCCATGGCAGGGGGGTTGGAACTAGATGATCTTTGAGGTCCCTTCCAACCCTAACCATTCTATGATTCTATGATTCTTTCCACTAATTACTTATATTGTAAATTCTAGGTCACGTGTCTGTTTGAAAACAGTGAGCAGAACATCGACATCCATTTATTTAATTTTCATGGAGATATCCACTGAAGACATTTCCCCAGCACAAACTCCCACTGTGCTTGTAATGTAGCAAGGTCTTGCTTCAGGAGGACGTTGTCTTCTAGGTCACAGCATTTCAGCAAAGTCTCCCTTTTTACTGAAATAAGCCTGCCTTTATCGTCTCGCACAGTAGCAAGCGTCATTATTTGCCACAGAGAATTTTGCCATCCTTAACATTTCCAAAAGATTCCCTGGGAAAGCCCAAGAGGTTTTTAATCTATTCACAGGGAGCAACAATCCTAGTTGCCTCAATACTTCAGGGAGGTACAAACTGCAGTAGGTCTACCTCCAGTAGATTTTATGTTCTCCCCCTGCGCTAGCAGAGCTCTCAAGTTGGGACTTCAGCGTGTAAAGCTGTGTTTGACCTTGCTCCCCACTCCCTCTCTCTGTACCTGTCAGCTCTGAAGTTTGCGGAGTGGTGGAGGGAAGAGGAGAGAGGAATGTAATAGCCCTCTTGGGCTGGCTACCTTTCCTGCACTTTTCTTCACTGCGCAAGTAGCCAGTAACATTAGCTAGACTTTTTTTTTGTTCAGATTTCTTTCTTGGCAATAAAAAAAAAAAAAAAAAAAAAATTTGGAGAGGCAGAACTGTTTCACAGATTGTTTCTTTTTTTGTCCATTTGCTACAGTTTTTCAGGACAAATGCCCGGATTCACTTAGATTTGAAATACTAGGAGAAATTTAGTTTTAGTTTGAAACATGCTTAATAGAAATATTTCCATTACTCTTGTTTTTAATAATTTCTGCAAGGTTAAAACATACCAAAATTGATGTAGGAGACTTTGTTCAGAACTCTATTTTGTTACCACTCAACTTTCTCAACTTGCTGAGTAAGCTGACCAGCAATTTGAACATAAATCATACCTGCTGCTCTAAAATGGGGAGCTAAGTGTGTAAGCATGGATCTAGGTTCCTAGCTTTAATTTTAAAGACTGAAAATGTGGTTTAGAAAGCTCTCATTGTCTCATGGCTGTCCCAGGAGATACAGGAGGATGTCAAGGCGCAGTTTATACCAGATCTCTGCCATGCTTCTGCTGCAGCCGCAGACAGTGACTGATAGTCTGTCTCACTTTGGAAAACTCTTACTTGTAATGTTGAACTCTGCCTTCACTCCCAGAAAGCCAAATGTATCAAAATATATGCTGCCACGGCTTACATGGGGTCTGCAAGCGTGGTCTTAACCAAGAAAGCTTTTTAAAAGAAAAAACACAGGTTATGATTAATTCGTGATTCTTGAAATGCCATTACGAAGCAAAGATGAGCAGGCACAGCAGAACGGCCAAGGAGACCGTTTGCAGCCTCTCTGTCTTTCTGCTGTGTTTTACGAGATCTGACAGTTTCTGAAGTGCATACTGCAGTCACTGTCAAGGCCAATCCCATCAGCTGCTCCCTTAGCAAAGCACTCCTCACTCCTACAGCTCCTTCATGCTGTTACCACATACCAGTATATCGCAAATAAATTTTTCAGGCAAGCTGCCATATCAAATTCTTTCTCTTGTGGGTGGTCCTTGAGAACAGTAGGGCCCTGTCTGTATTACCAGTCTTGATAACAGACTGTTTACAACATTAGGATTCAATAGCTTAGATTTTTTTTCCCCCTGCTGTAAATTGCTTGTCTAGACAGTTTTGGAGCTCCAATCTTTGTGAAAGTGAGGCTTCGGCTCAGTTACTGATGTAAGCCACTGATAGAGTACATCATATTGTTAAAATCAATCTTGCACTGCATAGTTCCCATTTTCCTTAATCTGGTAGTGTTGCAGTCTGACTAATTTTTTTTTCTTTAGTGATGGTGTCTTCCTTGAACATGGGACTAGTTCAGTGACTGAAATCTGTGTGAGTTGAAGATTTGCTGTTTGCATCACAAAACTGTAAATTGTTTTAGCCTGGAACCTCTTTATTCAACAAGCAGTGGTTTCAGGGAAAAAACAAACAAACAAACAAAAGTCAAAAAAAATAACTCACAACTCCATACTGGCCTACACATTCAAAACCCTTAGTGAACACTTACACTGTGATACGTAAAGGAGCCTAAAGTTCAAATACATCTGATTTTCTGAAAACTGGGGCCCTTATTGAACCCTAACTTCAAGGTAACCCAAGCTGCTAACACTTTGGCATCACGTCTCAGTGACCACACACATGCATATATATACACAGGTGCCAAGAAGGGGAATGTAATCAGCACGAGTGTATGAAAGAAAGAAAATTATATTCTTAAAATGTGTTGCTTTGTGTGCTATGCTATACTTTCAGATCCTACTTGCTTCTTTCCATAGGCCTAGCATTTTTCTTTCTAGGTTCCTTCTGCTTACTGATCATTCAGAAAAATAGCAGAGGTTTAGTTCCCTGCAGTAAAATTCCCAAATAAGCCCTTTTTTGGGACAACTGTGGGTACAACACACTCCTGAATGGCCTGCCATCCCATGCCCTTCACTTAACACTTTTGCGTTGCCATGAGGTAGGTGATTGTCTCAGATTCCTGAACTAAACAGCAGCTCCTCAACCTCCCTGACACCTTGCCTGTGAGGAAGGTGGCCATGGCCAAATGCCTTGGGCCACAAAGGCACCAGAGCTGAGGGGAACTGGAACTGATGGTGGCCTTCCCTGCTGTCTGCCCTCATGGCAAAGGGGTTTGCAGAAAGGTTTTGGGGTTTTTTTTCCACGGCATTGGGGCCAAAATTGGCATACAGTGGTTAGACAATTGCTGAAGCGGCCACAAGAAGTACAAGCCTCACTAGATGGAGCTCTTCTTCTAGCTGAAGGGATCGTGGAATGCTGAAGTGTCCTGTCTAGCTTTAGACTGGTATTGTTCCATGTCTTCATCAATGACGTAGACATTGGGATTGAGTGTACCCTCAGCAAATATGCAGATGACATCAGGATGAGTGCTGCAGCTGACATGCTTGAGGGAAGGGATGCCATCCAGAGGGACCTTGACAGGCTTAAGGGGTGCGCTAATGTGAACATCGTGAAGTTCAACAAGGCCAAATGCAAGGTCCCGCAGCCGGGTCAAGGCAATCTACAATATCAGTACAGACTGGGCGATGAATGGATTGAGAGCAGCCCATAGGAGAAGGACTTGGGGATACTAGTAGATGAAAAAATTACATGTGAGCCAACAATGCACATTTACAGGACAGAAAGCCAACTGTATCCTGGGCTACATAAAATGAAGCAAGGCCAGCAGGTCAAGGGAGGTGATCCTGCCCCTCTACTCAGCTCTCATGAGACCCCACCTGGAATACTGCCTTCAGCTTCGGGGTCCCCAACTCAAGAAGGACATGGACCTGTTGGAGTCAGTCCAGAGAAGGGCCACGAAGGTGATCCAAGGGTTGGAACACCTCTGCTATGAAGACAGGCTGAGAGAGTTGGGGCTGTTCAGCCTGGAGAAGAGAAGGCTCCGGGCAGACCTTCTAGCAGCCTTCCAGTACCTAAAGGGGGCCTACAGGAAAGCTGGAGAGGGACTTTGTATAAGGGCGTGTAGTGATAGGACAAGGGGCAATGTTTTCAAACTGAAAGAGGGTAGTTTTTGATTAGCTATGAGGAAGAAATTCTTCACTCTGAAGGTGGTGAGGCACTGGAACAGATTGCTCAGAGAAGCTGTGGGTGCCTCATCCCTGGCAGTGTTCAAGGTCAGGCTGGATGAAGCTTTGAGTGATCTGATCTAGTGAAAGATTCCCTCTCCACAGCAGGGGGGTTGGTCCGGATGATCTTTGAAGGTCCCTTCTAACCCCAACCACCCTGTGATTCTATGACTCTGGGGAATGGAGGCATAACCCTGCATGTCAGACCCAGACTCCCAGGTGGAGTTGGAGTATAAGCACATAAGCACAGTAGAGTTTGGCTCTAGGCTAATAGTCATTATTTTGATTAATTCATTTGATCACATTTGACTTTTCCAGTCTGGGGCCTCTTTGGCAGACCAGGCGTGTAGCTGGGGCTGAGGAGATGTGGACAATGTTTGTCCAGAGGTGATCCTCCTTCCTCTCAGCAGCTCAGGGCAGGTGCTTTGCCTCTCCGCACCTCTCCTTCCCACAAAGTCCGCAGAGAGCCACTGCTCCAGTGTGCAGTTGTTATTAGCAATGTTTTAATACAAAGCAGGAAATGCCACATGATGGGTGCTGGGAGGGAAGCAGGAGGTCCAACCTGCTGGTCTGCTCTTCCACCTTCTCCCCAGGCAGGGAGTGCTGGGAAAAAGTTCCACCATCTTTCCCCTCTGTTTCTGTTTCCTCATCAACCAGGTCCAAGTTCAGCTGCAAAAGCAGATAACAAAAATTTTGAGCTGTTCATTCAGCACTCAGAGGAGACACGTGGCCTACAAAACAAAGGGGAAGGCGCGATCACTTCTCCTCCAGGCTTACCTGTTGATGGCCGATCCACCCACTAACTTTTCTGAAGGGCCAAAGAAGGAGAATCCTCCCTCTGCAGCCATATGTTAACACACCATCAGGGACAGCGCCCTGAAGATGGCAAGTCAGCAAGATCCCAGCCTAACATTGTGCAGTAATGAGTGAAAAGGTCAAAACATGACCACTTTAACAGAATGATCATGCAAGAGCAGTGAGTAACAAGATCCTCCTGTTCCTCAACAGAAACAAATCTGTGCTGAGCTGATTGCTCAACCTCAGTAACAGCCTGCAAGACTCACGAGGCGTGCACAACCATAAACAAACGTGAGACAAGAAATGTGGAAATGTCACTTGTCATAGATTGCAGGACGTGTAAACCTTGGAAACCAAGTCTCCGTTGCTCAATAACATCTGCCTGTGCCAATGCTACTTCTGTGTTACCGAGGTCCCTGTATATCAGATGAGCGGGTATTTGTCTCCTGTGGCAAGCATGCAGATCTTTTGTCCTTGTGAGGTGGGTGAAAGGATGTTCTCTAACCTGAGTTAGGTAACTCACATGAAAATCAGAGAGAAAATGAGGGAATGTGTAGCTATATTATGTGATATCAAGACAAGCTGCAGCCAAAAGAGTCCTCAGGGTTTGCTGTTGCTGTCACTGAATCCCCTCCAGGACCCCCACTAATTCAAGCGGAGCAGGAACAGTCACTTCAGGAGTTGCTTCACCCTACTGGGACTACTCACAGATGTAAGCCAAACAGGCAAAGAGCTGCCTATGGGTAAGGCCTTGGTTCGTGTCCAGAGAGGAGAAGAAAGGGAAGGAGACATGCGGTGCATTTTGTGCTGTATCTGAGAACGTACTGCTTGAAAATATCCACCCGTGGAGAAATGAGCACTTATACCAATGGCAAACACAAACTCTGTGTTCCACACTCAGGCCTCCTATTGAATGTGCATTTCCCCCAGGGACTTCAGCTTTTGGCCCACATGTAATATTTATCATATATTATATTCCATACGTATTTGCTATGCAGCTGCACAAATATCACACTTAGAAGAAAACAATTTAATCGCTTGAAAACACAGTCTTTATGAAGTGATGAACAAACCATTCCATTCCTTTCTTTTCAAACCAACAATGCTGAAATGTCCAACACAGATGTCTCATTTTCACTTCCAGATGTTTTCTATATTCAGTGGCGATATTCAGTAGTAGTTTTAGTTGAAGAACTATTTTATATTAAGACACGAAATATTAGAGGCCATAGAGAAATACAGAAGTCATATAATTAAAAAGACTATAAGATGCGATGGGCATCTTATAGTTTTTTCAAATTTTCTACAGTCAAAGAAAGAAATGGCTTTCTGTTCCAACAAACACAATGTCATATTTGATGACAAGACAAAAACCTAAGAGAAATTAATTAGAAAATATGTTGAAAATATCAAACTGATTTCATCCTCTAAGAATTAGTAACACTTTTGCTCCTGAACCACAGGACTGATGTTAAAAAAACTTTATCTGCTACTTTCATTTCTAATGATGATAAGAGCACCAAAAAGAAATATCTCCTTCACTCCTTCCTTAAAAACCTGCAAGTCTATCTTGAAATACACACTTTCACATGCACAAAGTGAAAGCAAAAACTTGTGCTTGCAGACTGCTAAAACTAGTAGGCAAAATTTCTTCTGGAGGCCGGAGGTGATGATTTATTAAGCTTTATCCCCTTCTGATGTAATTGCAGCTATTTTGTCTCAGGGGAGTTCTGGAGAAAGGTTCCACACAGGGGTGACCTCCCAATGGCACATGGCTGCTGTGACATTGCAGCAGTCCTGCATCTCAACACTTTTTCTACTGTCCTTCAGGAGTATGGCTCAGATATCCTTTTTATTCAAAGACAGGATTTAATTTTCAGCACAGACTCATTTAAAATCCCGTCTCAAAAGAGAAATGATGATGTTGACACTTGCATAGTTTGATCAAGATTCATGTTTGTTTGTGTTTTCTGAAAGCACCAAATTCTAGAATCATGCCATTATGTACGAATTAGAGCTTATCCTCTTAAATACATATAAAATAAACATTTGTGGGAATGGGAGGCAGACACGGAAAAAGCATTGAAAACATGAATTTTAAAGGTTCCAAAAAAAATTGAAAATGGAACTATAAAATACTTATGTGTAGTAAAATGTCACCATTTTAGGTGTGAGCCAAGCCTTTTTAGTGCTGAGGTTTAGCAATACTGATTTCTAAGTGACCTACTTTTCCATTCTCGATCCTGACACCAAAGAATGTAAATGTATCAGCAGCTTGATTGAATTCAATGGAAGGACCTGGGAGCTCATATGAAGAAGGTGGTTTTTTATGGCAGTTTGCAGACCTGGATCACATCTGATTTTACTATAGGAAGGTACACATCATTTTACATATCACAATTTTCATTATTTCAGTTCAGAGATCTCGGTGTGATCCTTAGTTGCTCTTTTTGAGAATTACAGCAACACGTACAGGAGGCAAGTGCAGAAAGTTGGGACTCTACGGTGCTGTATTATAAGTCTATATGGCATTGCCTGAGTATGTTACTAGCTTGAATGCAGCAGACGAATTTATGGAGCCGGTAGGATGCATTTTATGATTCCTCTCCATCCTGTGTGGCAAAAATTACAGAGACTCTTCCTCACATTTGTCCAAAAACCACCAACATACATCTACTTTTCTTAATAAGGTCTTTGCTATCTTAATGCAGCTTTACAAAAACACTTTTTGGAATGCAGAAGTAAAATAAACCTGCAAAATGAGAAAATGCATTAAAATTCCTGATTTTTAACAAACAGAAGTACATCTGAATGAACAGGCTAGACTTGGACTAGACTAATTCAGTTGGAAGGGACGTACAATGATCATTCAGTCCAGCTGATTGATCACTTCCAAGCTGACCGAAAGTTAAAGGATATTATGAAGAGCATTGTCCAAATGCCTCTTTTTAAGGCACTGACAGGCTTGGGACATCAACCACCTCTCTAGGAAGCCTGTTAAACAGTGTTTGCCCACCCTCTTGGTAAAAAGATGCTCCCTAATGTCCAGTCTAAACCTTCCCTGGTGCAGCTTTGAACCATGCCCACATGTACTGTCGCTGGATCCCAGGGAGAAAAGATCAGCACCTCCCTTTCCACTTGCCCTCCTCAGGAAGCTGTAGAGAGGTACGAGGTCGGCCCTCAGCCTCCTTTTCTCCAAACTAGACAAACCCAGAGTTCTCAGCCGCTCCTCACAAGACATGCCTTCCAGCCTTCTCACCAGCTTTGTTGCCCTGTTCCGTATGCATTCAAAGACCTGAACATCCTTCTTCAGTTGTGAGGCCCAGAGCTCCACACAGTGCTCAGGGTGAGGCTGCCCCAACGCTGACTACAGCGGGATAATCACCCCTTTTGATCGGCTGGTTACGCTGTGTTTGATGTATCCCAGGATGGGGATTGTCCCCTTGGCTGCCAGGGCACACTGCTGACTCACAGCCTGCTATCAACCAGCACCCCCAGATCCCTTTTGCAAGGCTGCTTTCCAGCCACTCTTCTCCCAGTTTGTACTTGTGTTCAGTGTTACTCCATCCCAGGTGCTGAACTCAGCAATTTTTCTTGTTATATTTCACGCCACTGATGACTGCCCAATGCTTCAATCTATCTTGATCCATCTGCAAGGCCTCTTGTCCCTCAACAGAGTCAACAACACCTCCCAGTTTGGTATCATCAGCAGACTTGCTAATGGTGCCTTCAACTTCTGCATCCAGATCATTGATAATCATGTTGCACAGAACTGGCCCTAGAATTGAGCCCTGAGGAGCACCACTGGTGACCAGTCACCAGCCAGCGGTAGCCCCATTCACGACAACCCTTTGACCCCTGCCATTCAGCCAGCTCTTCACCCAGTGCACCAGGTACCTGCTCATCTCACAGTTGGACAACTTGTCCAGAAAGATGCTGTGAGGAACACTATCAAAAGCCTTACTAAAGTGGAGGAAAACTACATCCACCACCTTCCCTTCATCAACTAGGTGGGTCACCTTATTGTAGAAGGATACCAGATTAGTTAAACAGGACTTTCCCTTTGTGAATGCATGCTGACTGTGCCCGATGATTGCCTTGTCCTTGAAATGCCTTTCAATGGCACTATCATATGCAGCTAAACCACCACGAGGTCACTCCCTCACTCCTCCCCTCAGTGAGATGGAGAGGAGAAAAATGTAAAAAAAGTTTTCGGGTAAGAACAGGGAGGGAGCACCCACTGACCATGGCCCCGGGCAAAACAGACTCGGATTGGGGGCAAAAATCAATTTAATTTGTTAATGGCTCATTCAGAGAGGATAACAAGAAACAAGCCAGAACTCAAAAACACCTCCCTCACATCCCTCCCTTCTTCCCGGCTCTACCTCCTCCTCCAGGGACACAGGGGAACAGGGGGTTGCAGGTCAGTTCACCCCATGTTGTTTCTGCCACTCCTTTCTTAAAGGAGGAGGACTCCTCACACTCTCTTCCCCTGCTCCAATGGATCCCCTCCTCCTGGGACAGTCCACAGACTTCTGCAACCTGAGTCCTTCCTGCAGGATGCAATCCTTACTCATCAGATTGCTCCAGGGCGGTCTTCTTCCCCACAGAGTCACGGCTTCTTAGGGAGATGCCACCCGCTCTGGCGTGGGGTTCTCCACAGGCTTCAGATGCCTCTCTGCCTCGTTGTCAGCCTCCAGCAGCTCATGGAGACCATACTCTATGACTCCCTTCAGGCACAGGCACCTCTGCTCCAGCACGAGGTTTTCCAAGAGCTGTGGGTGGATCTCTGCTCCACCATTAAGCTCCATGGTGGCCCCCCTGCCACCTCACCATGGGCTGCAGGGGAATCTCAGCTCCATCACACCTCCTCCCGCTCCATCTTCACTGTCCTTGGTGTCTGCATGGCCGTTTCTCTCAGGTTTTAGTCCTGTCTCTGCTGCAGCCGTGTTGTGCCTGACAAACCTCAATAGCGGCAGCCCAGCATGGGCAGCCCCCCATCTCCCCTTTCTCTTCAGTGTAGGTCCAGCCTGGGCTTGGGCTCCTTTGTCCCCGTCTTAAATATGGCATTCGCAGAGGCGCTGACTGGCTTAGCCCTGGCCTGAGGGGATGGGAAGCGTCTCACCTGGCCAGAGGCCAGTCTGACTGGTTTTGGAGCCGGGAAGCTTTTCACAGCTACTTACAGGGGCTATTTCCGCAGCTCCTCCCATAAACCCACCACAAGTACCCAGTATGATCTTCATAAGTATCTAAAACCAAAAAGTTCACCTTCTGAATTTATTTAGGAAAGCAAAATTACTGCTTATCTTTTGCCTATGCTCCTGTCTCCTCCAGTCTGAATCAGATACTACAGAGGATGAAGTAATTCACAGGCTCTGAACAGAAATACACTTTTTATGATTGCAGACTTCTAAAGGTCCAGTGTGTACTTTACAGCCTGAAAGCTTTCTTTTTTCTCTCCTAGACTTTTCAGAAGAAACCAAAGACACAGAACACTCACCAAAAGCATCAAAATACTCGGTGAACAAGTTTGGAAATCAAGCAAATTATTCTTTTATTTTTGAACATCAAATAGACATAAATATTTGTGGCCTCCAAGCTTATGTTAAAATAGTAACATAAATTTGTTAGAACCTGTGTAAGGCACACAGAAGTCACTGGAACAGCTCTAGCTGTTGGAAAGGGACAGGAATTAATTTGTTTAATACATTCATTAGATCAAATCACTTATCACTTGATAGGTGATTTGGATGGAGCTATGGCTCAAAGTGATTTGATTCCTTCATCAATCACACACACAGAGACACAGTAAAATGCATCCTGCTGGGGTTTCCCATTATACATCCTCTGAAAAAAATGTCTCTGTTAGGGGTTCCTCCACCTTTTCTTCAGATAACTGGTAAATGCATGCAGGATTGCTTCTTGAAATCTGTCGCTGTGGAATACCCATAAAGGGATGAACTGCAGGACACACGCCTTCAGAATAATCAAGCAAAAATAATACAAAGTCAAAGGGTTATAGGAACCTCTTGAAAGAAATTAACTGAGTGTTCAGAAAGGTCATAGAAAACAGTAAATGCAAAACCTTTTACTTTATACTTTCAGTATGTATGTTTCTCTTAGAGGGAAATGTTCATTCCTCTCAGTTTTCAGCAAATTTGTTCTCATCCCTATTTTTTCATTAAATGTTCATCGTTAACAGCTGCCATGTATAAATATTTATTCTATTTTCTTAGCTTGGTATCCTAAGGAAATGATGTTTATGTGATAGCACAGTCTGGTTTTATGTCCTTTCCTTTCCCCACTAAAAACTTTTGAATCTGCTGGCCAATTTCTGTAAAGGAATAGGGGTCTCAGAAGTATTCCTAATAGGGTCATGAAAAAAGGCAGCTGGAGAAAGGATAAAGTCTAACCAGATATCAAACTGAGCTCAGCTTAAGACGCAAAAGCAGAGAAAGCCACGCTGTGCTGATACCACTGTGCTTTACTTGTACTTTACTCCTCTCATAGTTTACTTGTGTCATATTAGCCTTAGTAACGTATTGACTGTTTCTCATTTGATGTTCAACCTTAAGGTCTCTGAAATCAGTCAAAAGAACCTACTGGGCCCAGAGAGCCTTGGTTCAGCCTTTGGGACCCATTTACATACTGTCAAATTCAATTACCAGCATCTCATGGGCTAAACATCCAAAAATCTCATCTCCAAAGGTGACATAATCCAGTGATTCACTAACAAACTCTTCTGCTGTCTTTGTAATAAGACCAGGCTTTTGGTACATTGTCATTGGAGTAGAAACACCGTAAGGAGCCACTACCTAAAATGAGAAATCGTAATAACAGTGTAATGTCATCTAACGTTTAGACAAAGCCATTCACTCTGCAGAATCCTACAGCATCTGACAAATTATAACAGATATTTGCAATGGATTAAGGCACTATGTGGAATAAGTAATATTACTCTGGTGGAATAAGGAAAAAAGCCCATCTTTGCATACAGGGAAGAGACAAAGCTTTGACCCAGCACTTCGCCAAGGATGGCTACACTATACGGATTTAGGCGTCTTAGATAGTCTTGCAGGATTTGTTAAAATGAAGGCAAATATGGCAAGATATAGCATCACCTGTATGATAATTCCCTTTGTCTTATACTCTGCTTGTAGTGCTTTGGAGAAAGTGCTTATAAAAGCCTAGAATAAAATAAAACAAAATAACATTAAGCTTAGGAAACTAAGTACTTTCACATATGCTCACAAATACGTGCGAACAGGTCCTTGACAAAAATGGCCAAACATCATACAACCTAAGGCACAGTGCAGTGGTGAAAAACATAGAAATGAACTTTTCAAGACGCGCTTTCTACTGGTGCACATGAGCTATGGCAAGATTGACTGTTTATCTGCACCAGAAAAGATGGAGCCTGGCATTGGCCTAAGCCATATATGAAACAAGCACTTCTGCATTCCAGACTGAAAGCTTTGTCACATTTATGAAAATGCAGAGGTATAAACACCTGAGCCCCATTTATTCTAGCTATTGGTTCACGTGGCTGACGCCTGCCCTCCCAGTTCAAGGCTTACACTGCTGCTTCTCTTACAATAAGGAGGAGAATGAAATACGACTTATGTCATCAATGTATACCTATCAGCATAACCTAAAAATGTGATTTTCAAGGCCATGTATTTGGGAATATGGGAGGCGGGGGAGGGGGTGGTTCATAGGTTCAACCTTTAGGGTTTATCTAAGTTCTTTTCTCCACACCATGAAGAGTACACATGTACTAACTTATTTGTCTAAAAGTTAAGTTTCTTTTAAGACTGATTTTAGGAGTTAGATCTTTGAGAAATATTCAGAAACTTGACAACATTGGATCACTCCTCTGTAATTAGAAATATAAAAGTCCTATCAAGCAGAAAAAATGACAGTGTTTCAAAGCCATCATTTGGCAGGTCTTACAATTTAAACACCAATAGTGTTCATTGCATGAAACATCAATATACTGACAAGTACAATAGTATCCTTTCAGGACATTGCAAAAAAAAAAAGGCAACTTAAAAAGAAACAAAGGTAAAAGATATCCAAGAATGAAAAACGTCAAACTAGTACAATCAATGCACCATATCACTTTGAAATAACATTAGCAAAACTTTTGTAAGGAACTGAAATTGTCTGGTTTGAACGTAGTTCAAGTTTTGACTAATGAGAAACTTCTGCTAAAAAGAGAAAAAGGAAATGGAAAACTAGAAATTCTTGCCAAGAATAACTAGCTTTTTCTTACCAAGCTGATCTTTAGCTATGTTAAAGCAAGGGAGTTGGGGTTGCTCAGCCTAGAGAAGGCTCCAGGGACACCTTCTAGCAGCCTTCCAGTACCTAAAGAGGGCCTACAAAAAAGCTGGAGAGGGACTTTTTACAAGGGCATGTAGTGATAAGACAAGGGGCAATGGATTTAAACTGAAAGATGGTAGATTTCAATTAGCTATAAGGAAGAAATTCTTCACTATGCTACTGGCAGGGCACTGGAAGAGGTTGCCCAGAGAAGTGTCGCTGGAAGTGTTCAAGGCCAGGCTGGATGAGGCTTTGAGCAACCTGGTGTAGTGGAAGGTGTTGCTACCCATGGCAGGGGGGTTGGACCCGGATGACTTTTAAGGTCCTTTCCAACCCAAACCATTCTATGATTCTACGAAATATTGTTAGAATTTTTAATATGGAGCAAGCCTCAGCTGAGCAAGTTGCTTTCGGAGTTTCAATAAGAATCATTCACTCCTCATTTTTATGAGCTCTGGGGTTTTAACTCAGAGCAAAATTTCAAAGTGAAATCTATGAAAGCAGGCAGCTCACCACCCACCTAACAGGAATTTTATTTTTGGTTCCATAAGCAAACTCTCGTACTTTTGTGCATCTAGAGTTTTGAGAAAACTAACTAATCCAGTGTGGTAATAATCATCACTTCCCAGAATGAGCACAGGTTGTGAGCACTGGTATAATACTATTTAATCAAAGGCAAAAATGTTCTGATGATCAGACATACCTTCAACTGACTTCATTCATATAGCTTCACTGATTCTTAGTTCTCAGCTAGTGTCAGCTAATGTTGCTTCATTAGTTCAGTGGAGCAACACTGATTTATGTCCTGAAAATCTATATTGGTGATAAAAGCACTGTGGTAAACACTTGATGAGGATTTCTTTATAAAGCAATGTGAATTACTTACCTTAGAAGCTGAGTACATTGTGTATAATGGACAAGGGAAAGTACCCAGACCAGAGGACAGATTCAGAATAAGACCTTTTTGTCTGAAATTTAATTTAAAGTTACATTCAGTTTACATTATACAGTATTATAGTAAAAGCCTGCACAAGTTGAAAACAACTTTTTTCCCCAGAAGACATAGTTCTCCTATTATACTGTAGAAACTACACTTTCAAAAGGCTCAATTTTTATGGTGTAGTTAGGTGCAATTAAGTCTGAAACAGCTAGGAATAATGTCATAAGTGAAATTTAAATGCCCAGTGCAGTCAGAACCATGGGAACATTGTATATGCTATTGTACATCTAACAGAGCAAAAACTGCCATGAGAGGAAAGATTTATGCTCCTAAGTAATTGGTAGGTCCCCTCTGCTCATTAGCCAGCACATTCTTTTTCCTGCTCCATACATCTGTTGGTTTAGCTTCCTTATTCACAACTCCCTGTAAAAATCACTAAAAACAATTCATTCAGCAACAACCAGAAAAACAAAACAAGACAAAACCCCAAAACCACAACCAAAACAATTAAACAGTAAGAGCTTGTTTTGTTGCCAAAACAAAACGCATGCACTGTCCTCCAAAACGCAGTGGTTAACAATGTTTTCTAGAAGCTCCATCTGAAGACCTTAACCTCTGGTTTAAGGACCCCCATATCTAAAATACACATTGTATTACAAGGAGAAAAGGGATCCTTAATTGCATAGCAGAATTAATCTCTCTGATGTAGTACAGACATTTCCAGAGGTTGAAAACTATCATTCCAAGTGCAGCTAGCACTTTTAGAAGAGTATGACAATACATTCAAATGCCATTTCTTGCCTCATTACACCCATCACATGCCATTTTATTTCTGCAACACCTGCTGGTTTTAGTTCACACAGATGTATATTTTATGTTTTTTGTCTTGTTCTACAGTTGACTGACAATTTGTGGCAGCTCCTGTCATCCATTCACACAGCACTAACAGCAACAGAAGAAAATCTTACTAACTGAAATACCGCAAAGTGGAGAAGTTAATCATAAAAACACATAGCTACCACTCAATAAACTGGAGGTGGCAGCTAAAACCTATTGAAGGTTCTAGAAAAAAATTTTTTTACCTTGGTTCCATTTGTTTCAAAATTATTTTTGTCATCTGTAAGACAAATATGTTAAAAATTATATCCATTCTTCCTCTTTCTGATTGCATTTTTCAACTGATCTTGTTTTTTTTTCACAATATTTCCACTTGCTCAAGCCCCAGGCATTGGTATACAGTTCAAATAGCTAAAATATGGCACATTCAAAGTTTTGAAAAAAACGTAGCCTGCAAATCGACTGAATTGTCAAAAAATTCCAAAGTTTAGTCTTCTAAGTAGTGAAAGTCTTATGTTTACCCAAAGCTTTTCAGCAGTATCTGAATCATAACTGTAACGAGAAAGTCAACTTCATAGTGTTTTTGCATTTTTGCTTCTGGCCCTACCTGAACCACAAACAGCAGAAAATCGATGTGCTACAAAAGACAGCTTTAGCATAATTTTTGGTGCTAATTATTTAATCACCCATTCTAATTTTAACAATAGACTTAATAATGCTTGTGATTTTTAAAGTGATGTTAAATCTATTCTTAGGTAAGAAATCTGCTTCTGTTTGTTGTATTTAAAGAATATTATTGATAGTAAGCCTAAGTCCCTAGGGAATCCATACTCATACTATAGGCTCTTTATAAAAACACACATACTGTATAAATTTTTTCAGGGTGAGAGTGCGACTAAACTTGTAAAAGGCAGTAATGAAAAGCAGTGCAAAATAATGATGCAGTTTAATTCTGTCCTTGTTAATTCCCTGTTTTTTCAGTAATGTCATTGTGCACAATAGGATAGCAGGAGCAGGGTGGGGTTCACAATCTTCGTTTTCAGAAAGGATGACAGTGAAGGTGGGTCACATCAGCTTGGGTGAAGGGGATTTTTCAAGTAAAGTGGAAAACATGGGAAAAGGTCCTGGTTTTGCAGTGCTGGAAATCCCGCTGGAATCTGCGGGACCCGGGAATTCCTGGAGTTTGCATATCCCACTGCAAGAACTGGTGAGCAGGATCCTAGCAGGAATCAAGGCAGGGAGGTGGGGAAAAAAAAAAAAAAACAAACAGATTTAAAGATGATTTGTACCTAACCATGAGGAATGCTGGTTAGGAGTATGATTTCTTCCTTGTGTTTTGGGGGAAAGTGAGTGTTCATGAAAGACTGAAAAGGACGTGGTTGCAGCAATGGGAGAAAGGAATCCCCAGGCTCTGGTGAAGTAGAAGATGTTGATTCTTAGGTATGTGTAAGGTGAGAAATGACAAAGGGAGTACCCTTTTGTATCCAGGCTGACAGGGTGCAAAACGTTTACCTGTTTTTCATGAGGCATCTATGCATAGCATTCAGGTATTGCAGATACTTCTGTTCTTTTGACATACAAATACAAAAAAAAAAAAAACAACAAACCACCTAGAAGCAGAAAGTTCATCAAACTGCTTCATGGGAGAATTTGTTTCAACTGACTAGTATTATATGATTTATTATTTGAAGTCATTAAGCAGCAGTACAAATTTGGGGTGCAAAGTTTGCTAGCCAAAGAAAAACAAACATCTGCTGATAATTTTCATGTCATGTTTAGAAAGACACTAGCCAAGGTTGAGATGAACTACAAAGCTCTTGTTTCTGCTTTGTTCATGTTAACATGCTGCTTGCAAACAGCAGAGCAATACAAATCTCCATCAGAAGAGGAACATGTGAAACACTAACTGTACTTGCAAGGGAAGCAGGTGACCAAAATTAACACTAAGAGGTGACAACATGGAACTGGGAGTCAGCTCCTTAAGTCTCTGTCCTGTACTGATACAAAAAATTTTTGCAGAACAGAATTGTGTCAAAAATGCACATGCCGTACAAAAACTGCAGATCTTCCCGTCCTGAAGATTTTGTTTCTGAAACAAATCTCCCTTTACCAAAGCCAACATGTTTTTGCAACATGTTTCAGCTGCAGTGTAATGATGTGTCTCAACCAAGCAACTGTGTTAAAACGTTTCCAGTCAGCTCTGATCAAAATATTCCATAGGCAGTAGAAACAGATGGGGTCCTTAAAACAATGCTGACATTCCTATCTGCAGATAGAGTACACAGGAAAACTAGTTGGTCGGTCTTGTGTGGGACTAGTTTCATTCCACTAAAATAATTACAGATGTAACATAGATGTGTGTCACCTACCTTTGTAACAGAAATAATGTTGCAGTTGACGAGGTTCTGCAGGAAGCAAGAAAACAGAAAGTTCATCATTAACTTAGAGAGTTTGTGGCTTACCTAAGTAACGCAGCTAGCCATCACAATTTAGAAGCTTTCCAGCAAGGCAATTGCTTTCGGGGCTGCTCTGCTTGCCTCCGACTGCCACTGCCTGCGCCTACCATGCGGGATACCCAAAAGCAGGTGAGCCCTGCTCCGTTTTATTTTAAACACGGCATCCAAATCCGCTTTGCACCGCTTTGACTCTCTCCCCTCCGTTTTGCCCAAAGACGCCTTAGCACGTGGTGCAGCCTGGAAGGCTGGTGTCCAAGCAGCGACGGCGCCCGTGATCCAAGGTGGCTGCAAACAGATGACAGGTTACCGAGGTGCCCGGCTGAGACTGAGCAGCTCTGGGCGACAGAGGTGGACTGCCTGTGCGGAAAACGCACCGCCACGTAGAGAGAGCCTCCCAGGACCAGCAAGCAAACACAAGCCGTGGCAGCAGCAGAGGTGCCATCATAGGGCTGCAGCTCTGAGGGGAGCACCCTGCTCCAGGATCTCTGATGTGTAGTAGATGGTGATACTGAACAAATCCTGAGTCAGGTGCTAGCAAGACACACATTTACAAACTCTGGTTGCTTTCATGGCTAATGCTATGGAGGTAAATAACAATAAGGCAAGGAAAAACTTGATCATATCCTCAGTCCTGTCAAACTATTCTACACATGTAAATTAATTCCCTCCCAAAAGTAAACTGTGTTTAAATGAGGCTTGTTTTTTCATTTTTTCACGTCTTTAAGCAATGGTGTTCCAAAGAAAGTAAATTTTAATAATACTAACAAGAACCCCACACTTCAGCTGTGGCTGTGACCAGGCTGGGCCCCATTAGATTACATGTGAGCAGTGATCCAGAAGGGATCCTGATCCCTGCTACAACCAGGCCAGCTGCACTCTCCGCTCCACTACCGAGCACTTGCTGCAATTTAGCTGAAATCTATGCTTCTTTTGCGAGCATTTCTGAGCATTAAAAACAATTCAAAATATGCTCCTTCATGTCCAGTTCTTTTCCCACTCAGCTGAACAATTAAATACGTGCTGATGGTAGCAGGGGCAGAATCTGTCCCTTGTTAAGTGGAACTACAGTTCTTCATTGTTATAATGGAAGTAGAAACCCACAGAGTAATCCTACCTCATCTATGTCTGGTCCATTGAGGAAACGGCACGGAAGAGGACTATGAAGCATTCCAACATTGTTAACTAATCAAAGGAAACATAGTGATAAGAACCAAATCTAGACAAAAGTTCATAGTTCAGCTAGTTAAACAAACGGCTTCTCCTCAAGGCTCAGAAGCTTTTGAGCTCTACGTGAAGAGAAATGCTGTTTACCATTGAGTCTGTTTCTCACTGATCATGGGTACTGATCAGTACCGACTTTAGAGAACAGGAAAACAGTCTGTTGCTACAGTTTGGAGTTTTGCTTGTTTGTGTTTTGTTGTTGCTGTTTCGTTTCACTGTTAAAAGGCTTATTTTCTTTAAAAAAAAACCACTCCAAAGCTTCCCCAAAAAAACACGTTTTCATTGTTGCTGTGTGGATCGTACCAATTAGTGCTAGCCCCAGGCTCATTTCAGATTGAATAAAAGAATTGTATACAGCTGTAAAACAACCAATAGTGAAAATTAATTCCTTGAACTCAAACAGGGAAGAAGTTGCTCCACAAGCTGATGCTGCTTATAAAGCAACAGAAGAGGTTTCACAGTAAAGAAGCCTCTATACATAGAAATGGAAAGCCTTTGGAGAATCTTAATTCACTTTTAAAACTTCTTCATGGTAACTAACCCTCAAATGCATTAGGCAGCTGTATGCTTGGTTTTAAGTGTTGGCAAACTAGTTGTTACGACACATCATTTATATAATTCTACGTTTAGTACACTACAGCCATAAAATACTCTTCAATTAACAGGCCTTAGTGACTCACCCAGGACGCCAATATCCAAGCCTTGCAGACCTTTTTCAATGTTCTCGTACACTGAATTTCTAGTGAAATCAGCTTGTATAACCTTCACCTTTTGACCTGTAGCCTGCTCTGTAATTAAGAGAAAAAAAAAAAAAGAAAACCCCTTTGCATCTACCCAGAGAGAGGGAAAGCTGTAGTTAAGTAATCAGAGAAACAATCAGAAATCTTATTTAGTAATGTCTGCTTTCAATAAGCAATTGTTTCAATTCTCTTGCTTTAAGAAAGACCAAAACACAAGCAAAACTCTCTCACTGTACCCAGTTGTTTTCAAGGAAACGGGCTGGCAAATATAGGATGAATTTATGCCCTGAAATCAGTGGAAGTTCCCTCACAAAATCTAAACAGCATTTGGTCTTTCAGTAAGAAAAACACGCCAGAAATAAACAACATAGGACTTCTTCCCCTAGTTATCATAATATTTATAAATTAACACTGTCAGCATATGTTAAACAAGTGAACGTGGGTGTCAGATCCTCTACATAAGCAGTGTTTTGCAGAATTGTTTTAAAGTATTTTCATGTATAAGATGAACATTTTAACAGGCAGAGCTTAAGTCCTCATGGAGGAGGAGGGAAAAACAGGGCTGGATGCGATGTGGTTATTTTCTGCATTATTTTCAAACAATTCCTCTCCTATTTTGATATTTGCACTCCCATGGACTGAACCTTCCCCAGGATTTTGCAGGACTAAAAGGCATTTAAGGGAGGGTATAGCTTAAGTTTTACAAGGTCAATTTACACAGAAGGGAAAGGGAAATGTGTATGATTTTTCCAGTGTCATTGCTATGCAGAAGTGGAGCCCAGCTGTACATTACCATTTTTCTCAGCAGTTGATTTATTGCTGTTCATATTTTCAATGAAGTTTCATGAGGAAAAGAGGTAAAGGCTCTTATTTACTCACTTTAAAGGCAAGGTTCTCCTTTAAAGGGGCCCAGTAAGGTCTCTTCTAACTAGATGTTCACATTGTAAATTCTTGCTACTAAACCCGCTTTCAAGTTTTACGGGCAACCTGAAATCCAGATGAAGTCTGCTGAAAAAGTGACAAGCAAGGCTTGGAAATGTCAGTACACGATTGGATCGCAGACTTGCTGCAAGTGGCAGGAATTCAAGTGCAGGTAGTGGCAGAAAGTCTGCTTTCCATCCCTTTTGCTTGTGTGGAGCCTAATTTATCATACAAGTGAGAGCGAGCATTGCCTTGAACTTTACACTACCCAGGTAACACAAGTGGTCTGAGGAGCCAGCAGATGCTCTGACTCCAGATCTGAAATGCAGGCCTCATCCTGTGTGCAATTTTAGAGGACATCTGTCTCCATGACAGAAGAAAGGAGGAAGGAGTGCCCTTTTTCTTGCCCTACGTCCAAGCTGCAGTTGTGTGTATGAAAGGGACGAGGCACCCTTTGAACCTTCAACCTATAAAAGCAACTCTAGTGGCAAATGACCCCGCCGTGGTCCCCAGCTGGGGGAATGGTACGACTATAAAGAAAAGGACATTGTGAGTGGAAATGCAGCGAAGGGAAAGAACAGAGCAACAGCTGGAGCAGACACCTACAGTGACCTTCTGATTGAAGAGCTCTATAAACAAAACGAGATGGTCTTAAAAAGCGCAGTGATGTTGTGGCCATCTTTCTTGCGGGCAATGAGAAAGGCAGCCAAAACTAGAGCAACATAAAAACGAGGATCAAACAAACCGTTTGGACTTTCTCTGCATCCCCTTGTCCATACAGAACCGTACGGCTGCAACCAGCACTGTCAGCCAACAAACAAGTACTCCAGATGGGTTTCCTCTGTCTCATTTAAGAATAAACCAATATATTAAAAAACAATAAAAATATAATGCTGATAAATGAATTATCCAGGGATAGCTCTTCAGAAAATGATAACAATTCTGCAAAGGAGAGAGACAAAAAATAATTTCCAATATTCCTTATGTCTCTCCCTCTCTGTGACAAAGATTTATGACAGTCTTTGAAGACACAAGCCATTCCAAGTCTTTTTAGAAGTCCTAAGTATGCCAAAAGCAAAAAGCCTAGATTTTCAAACATCAGGACAGGTTTTTGTCATTTTTAAAAATTTAGAGAAAACTAACTTACAGAAAACTAAAAACTTGAACTGAGTTGTTTGATCCGGCATATTATAAAATATATCATTAAGAAGGATACATCTAACTCCTCCTGACCTCAGATTTCCTGGGAATCCCACTTGTCAGAGAGGATAATGTGTCGCCTTTTGACTTTTACCAAAAGGAGAATAAATCAGAAAGAAGCATGAAGTTGGTGAGGACATGTAGTCTGCCAGAAACTCTCCTTTTCTGTTCAGAGAGTTATGAAGATCTTCCAAAAACCTGAGGTAGCAAAATGAACACCTGAGTGACACAACAACTGATCTTTGTAGAAAGAGGAGACACTTTTGAAGTACTATAGCAAAATTTGAATAAGAATAGAGAGAAGCACTCAGGTTAAGATGAGGCTAAGATGTCAGGCTGAGAAGATGTGGATGCCCCATCATTGGCAGAGTTCAAAGCCAGGTTGGATGGGGCTTTGCGCAACCTGATCTAGTGGAAAGTGTCCCTGCCCGTGGCAAAGGGTTTGGAACTAGGTGATCTCTATGGTCCTTTCCAACACAAACCATTCTATGATTCTAAGATGGAGTTCATATTCAGTGGAAATTTGCAGAGAGGAAAACAAAATGAGAAGTTATTTTAATGACAGAAAGAGGTTTAAAAAAGATTTAAGACTGGGGAGAAATATAAAATTTGTTGTTAGATTATAAAGCACAAGTTCTGGCTACATTTCTAAAGTGTCTCGGAGAAACACATCTCCTCAGAACTATAACTCAGTTTCAGAAATAACAGGAAAATAGAGAAGAAACAAAAAGAATGAGTGTAAAAGCAGAACTGCAAAGATGAAGAAGATACCAGAGAACAAAAAAAAAAACCCGTGGGAATTGCTACTAGCTACCAGAGCACTCAGAACATCAGTCAAGGCCCTGAAGCGCTCTATTATGTAGTAGTGCATATCTGGCAAAACAGCGCTGAGCAATAATGCTCTACCTCAGGGGATCAGCAAGACACAACAGGCATTCTTAACAGCCTTTAGTGACGAACAAAGGGTGTGCCAAGTGACCTGTTTTATGTTAGTCAATCATCGCAGCTTGTTACCTGCTTGGCTCTAGGAGCTAGCTCTGGAAGGACACGGGGCGGAGGACACAGCAGACCAGACTGGAAATTGAGCCTGCAGCGGGGGGGGGGTACAGCTGAATGAATTAGCACCTTTACGGGTCTTAGTGGGAGCAAAACACATTCAGTTCTTGCCAATTCTGTGGGGTGGTTTTTACGTTCACAGCTTTATTCTATGCTAACAGGCATGGTTTCATCAAACCCAAATTAATGAACTGCACGCTCAGCTAGTCTAAGCCAGTGTAGCTGTATTTCCTACTCCTTTCTGAGGACCACACACCTTATTTTTCTTTAAAATATGGGTTTGTTTCTTCTTGAAAAGAAACCCAAAAACCAAAACAACTAAACCCCCTAAAATCCCACGCTTGTTGTGAATAATTTCTATGTCTTACAGAAGTGGCTTTTGTTTGATCAGCATTAACAGTTAAACAGCTCATACCCTGGTCATATAAACAGATCCTATAGTATAACTTTTCCGTCAGGACCTAGATCCATCTGTACAGCTTCCTTAGCAATGTAGGCAGAAAAATAAGAAGGAGTGCAGTTAGTAGCATTCCACCATTTCTAATCTCCTGGGTTTTTGGTTTAATCAATGTTTCACAACCACTATACTCCATGTGTTAAATGAGAAGTATACCTGGTGTAATTGGCCTCTCTGTCTGCCCTCCACAAGACTTACTTTTGTCATCCTTTTCCTCATTCTAAAAGAGCTTTCCTGTCCAAGTGGATGGAAATCTGGTTTTCAATTCCAGTGCTTCTTTGTAGAAATGTTTTTCTTACGGTGGATTTCTGCCTGCTATAGCTCTGAGAGCTGTTCCCAGACACACCTGTGGCCCACAGGACTGTTTGAAAGCCAAACACTGAAGTCTGTGGAATTATCCGTACTTTAGACTCCTTTCATTTACATTACTCAGTATCCAAATTGAATGATTAGGCAAAAAAATATTGTCAGGTTGAAAAGGGAGGCAAGTCTTTCAATTATGGTGCTCAACTGATTGGAAAAAGATATACAGTGTAGCTGTGAAGCAAAAGGAAACACGCGTAATATGTCCAGTCCTACAACAAATTTACACAGCCTACAACAAACTTTTTACCTCTGTGTCTCTGTGCCTTCATCTCCTTGCATGTTAGTTCAGGGTAATGATAACTACTTGGAGCCAGACGCTGCTTATTTAAGCAGTTTAGAAGGAAAAAGTCAGTGAGAATTAGAAAGTAGAAAGCAGTAAAACCATTCTGGTTAAGTTGTTGATTAGTTTTTAATTTCTGTTTTTTATTTACTCACATAAAATCACAGTAAGTTTAACTTTTCTTCCTTCCCAATGACTGCTTGGTTTAAATACAGTAAAGCCTGGAATCAGTGGAACGTTTCCAAAGCTTTAACATTGGCCCACATCCAGAGCTCTCTGCTGATTTTAGTGGCCTCCAGATCAGATATTCTGTGCTCTTCATGGCTACAGCTTCCTCTCCTTGTTGTTAGGTACTCATTTCCAACCTGACGCGATAAGCAACACGAGTCACTCTGGGCTTCAGCCAAAACCCACTGAAAACAATGGAGAGATCTCATTGGGATGTGCCACCAATTTCAGCAAGTTTTGGGAAACCTCATTATGCCCACAACCCAGCTGAACATAGCACAGAAACCTGATGAGTGTAGGCTGAGCTCCTGGGCTCACACCATGCACCTTCCCTCTCCTTGGATTACACAGATAGTGCTGCTGCAGGCAGGGAAGCTTCCTCACGTGCCAAAAGTCACAGATCACTTTTGCACAAGGCACAGGAGTGTTTACAGGCAGTACCTTTCAGGTCAAGCCAAGTCCTTTTTTAAGTGTTGCTACACAACTCAGTGCAATACGGCCTCAATTAGGAAGGGGGCCCATGGATGGCCTTATAACAAATCATAGTGCAAAGGAATTTAGAGTATATCATCTTTCTGGGCTCCATCACTTTTTTAATTTACTTAGCTACATTAATTTCAGGAATCTTATTGTTCTCATTCTTTCCTTCTGATTATAATTTACAATGCAAAGAAACTATAAAAATTCGTTACACTTTTTTTGTCCCTAGGTTTCTATTATTTTAATTCTTTAACATTTAGCTGCAAAGAAATGCAACAATGACACTGGAGCTGGCCTGTTTTGCACACAAGTTCATTTTTTATGGCTGTTTACTTAAGGAGGGGTTGTGTGAGCAATAGTCACTTTAGTCTCAGAGATACAGCTGCTTATAGAGACTATGCAGGCAGTTGGTGTTTTCCTTCTCTGATACCCCTTGCTTCTCAAGGGAAAACAAGTCTATCCCTGGGAAAAAAGGGATGTGCGCTTGCAGCTCAGAAAACCAACTGTATCCTGTGTTGCATCCAAAGAAGCGTGGCCAGCAGGTCGAGGGAGGAGATTCTGCCCCTCTACTCAGCTCTCATGAGACCCCACCTGCAGTACTGCTTTCAGCTCTGGAGTCCCCAACACAAGAAGGACATGGAGCTGTTGGAGCGAGTTCAGAGGAGGGCCACAAAGATGATCCAAGGGCTGGAGCACCTCTGCTATGAAGACAGGCTGAGGGAGTTGGGGTTGTTCAGCCTGGAGAAGAGAAAGCTCCAAGATGATCTTATAGCAGCCTTCCAGTACCTGAAGATGGAGAGGGACTTTTCACAAGGGTATGCAGAGATAGGGCAAGGGGTAATGGCTTTAAACTGAAAGAAGGCAGATTTAGATTAGATATAAGGAAGAAATTTTTCACTCTGAGGGTGGTGAGGCACTGGAACAGGTTGCCCAGAGAAGTTGTAGATGCCCCATGCCTGGAGGCGTTCAGTGCCAGGCTGGATGAGGCTTTGGGCAACCTGGTGTAGTGGAGGGTGTACCTGCCCATGGCAGGGGGGTTGGAACTAGATGATATTTGAGGTGTCTTCAAACCCATTAGAACCATTATATGATTCTATGATTCTACGATTTCAGTAACTGCAGGTTCAGAAGTTACAGGCTTTTTCATCCACTTCAAGTCTGCCACATCCCTGAGAGGTGCACTGCTTTCTCTACAGATACAGACCCTGGGCCTGACACTCCGTTGGAGCCAGCTGCCAAGCCTGCTTAAAGGCAAGCAGTAGAGGGTAGAGGGGTAGTCTTGGAGTGACACATGCTTCACACAGGAACCAGTGAGTCAAGGAACCTGGTGGACAGATGCCGTGAATAGAAAAAGAAACAGTGGGAAGAATAACCTTGATTACTGCGATCTTAATAACCTTGATTACTGCGATCTTTAAAGTTCATGGAGGATATAAACTCATTTGACTCCCAAAGAAATCCTGTCAATCTTAATGTATTTAAACAAGCCATTCCTCACAGTACATGTTAATTTCCTTTGAAGAAAACAAAGGGAACATTAATTCTAAAGACAAACTATTTAACTGTTTTATCAAAAGCCAAGTATACCAACTTGAAAACCTTAAAAAAAAATGTACCTTGATTTCATTTTTACTCCTCTGTTATGTTTCAAGAACTAGCCTAAAAGTAACCTTTGTATTCCAAGCATAAACTGTTTCATAGATTCCTCCAACAACTCTAATATTAGATCTTCTTTACCTGTATTTACAGATTTTAAGGGCAACTGAAGCCAGTGAAGAACGCATATTCACTTTATTTATCCAACCTATTGCACTGTTTGAATTACAGCCTGTATTTTTAAAGCAATTCATGACTAGAAGGGTTCAAGCAACACATTACTACCAGAAATTATTTCTAGTATTGGAGCAATATCTGGGGCCCTACAAAACTACATGCTGTACTGAGGAAATAGACCTCCAGATCCCTGCAAAGTCAGCCTGCTAAACGGGAAGATGAGTTTGAGACAAACACTTACCAACTTCAGAGGCTACTCTCTGCAGTTTTTCAAGAGTTCTGCTTATCATAACTATATTTAATCCACGTTTTGCCAGCTACAAGAAAGGAATATAAAAGCTGTTGGAAAACAGTAAGGTAACAAGAATTTTTACAATATTTCCAGTTTTGCTATAAAAACAATCACGGATTTTTTAAAATTGCTTTCATTCACCTGCCATCTGCCTAACGGGAAAACAACAGATATTAAACAAGGCCAAACAATACTCAGGCTTCTAACAGTCTTCTAAAACATCTCCTTCACTGTAAAATCTTGGACCCTTACAAGAAAAATATACTGGACAACAATCAAACCCCAAGAATACGAACAAAAATAAATAATCTGAGCCAATTTCAAATGAATGAAAGTCTGCAGGGAGTGAAAGTGACGTGACATTTCCCCAAAACACAGTTTTATTTCTACTTGGATTTGAGAGGTCAAATATGTTGATGACTTCCTAGTCATTTTACAACATCACCTTCCACCCCCACATTTTTTTATCCTGAGGAGGTAGATTAAGCATTTTGAATTGAAGGCTCTAGAGTTTGAAAGGATTTGGACTTTATTAATATATTTCTTAACAGAAACAAAATCTTGTGTGGTTCAGATGGATAAATTTCAACTGTTCTTCTTTTCATTAGATGCAAACTCAAGAAAAAAAAAAAAGAAACCAAGGAAAAAAGGTGAAATCCATACACAAAAATTCAAAATACAGTCACACAAACATATATTCATAAAGATGCTGGCAACAGTTGAAGTTTATAGCTGCAAACACTACTTAACACAGGAGTCCGCTTATAGTCAGTTTGGTATTACTACGTGCAAAACAAATAGATAATGGTTTTCTCCTGTTTTCTTGAGGCCTGCCATTCCCATCAGTTAAAGAGTTTTCAGGCAAACCTTGAGAGAGAAACATGGCCCCAGCTTGTGACACTAAGTTATTAACAAGCGGAAGCTAAATGTAGTTGTGTGCATAAAGAAAGATAAGGCTGAAACTATAAAAATGCCCATGAGAGCAAGCAGAAAGAGAGCTAAATTAGTCAGCACAAAAGAGAAAGCCAAGGTTATCTGAAAGTAACAGGTTTGCTTTGAAGAAGAAGCTAACTGGTGAAGCCCACGCACTGAAGATCCCTTCATTTCCATAGCTGACTCCCTGTAACACTTGCTCCTTAAACTTATTTGAGAGAAACAGTTTGTCCTGTTGGGCTCTTCCAAAACAATGCAGAGAACGTTAAAGAATGAGGACCTTTGTTCAAAAATTCACTGCATTGAGAGTACGAGGGGCAGATTGTCTACTAAGTGTATCAGCCACAACAGTTTGCATTTTCAGCACAAAGACCATGCTCACAATCCTGTGCTTTTGGAGACCCTCTCACATATTTGACGAGTGCTCCAGAGAGACCTGCGCAGACTTAGGCACTCGGGAGTTTCGAAAGCTTATTTAAAGGGCTCCATTTTAAGGGCTCCTTTTTAAGTTCTCAGGAAGAGAACTCTAATTATCTACATAGTGGCAGATTTCCCTTTGTCCACATCGAGCTTGACTCAAGCCATTTCCAGTCAGAGACATGGTCTCCATTTCCACAGTCATTTGTTCATTTCTACCATTTGTGGGGGTTCAGATGGAGATTATTTTAATTTTTGTTCCTTCAGACCAAAAACCGAGTATCAGCCATGTCATATACAGAATCAAAACAAAGCTCTGCTTCACTGTGCTTCTCAATATCATCTCAGCTATGTCTCTGTATTTCATCTGGTAGGAAAATCCCTCCTAAAATTTAAGTGAAAAAAATATTCCTATTGCTAAGATTGCATTGTTTTTCAGCTAAAAGCACATGTTTGTGGCAATCTTATAAAATTGTTAACCATCTGGTGAGAGGACTCTCCCTTGCTGCTGTATATGAGAATAACCAGATGTATAAGGCTGCAGCAGCCATTTCTCAAGTCAAAAGAGGCTACACACCTGGCTACTCTTTTCGGCTTCCTCACTCACACAGAAATGTGCATCCTTTTCAGACACAGGTTTTGTAGGACATTGTAACTATCGTGAGGTTCAAATGCACCCTCAAGTAAACAAAAAGAACTATGCTTAGAAAAGAATTTCCTGGCCATCCACAGAAAAGGTTACATCAGTGTTAACACTATCGCATTTCAAATCAAGGTAACTTTTACTGTAGATCTCTTCAGCACAAAGCATTTTCTTAAAATAAAAAGGGTTTGTCGTTAGAGGATGGTATTTCCCCTCACAGTTAAGAACAAGCATTGCCTCCCAGCAGTGTAATGTAAAGCTGCATGTGTTAGGAAATCCTGACTCCCAGTGGTAAAGGACTAAAATGCTCCTGAACCTCTCAGACTGCTAAAAACGTAAGATCATTACCAACTCCAGACATAATGAATTATGACAACTTAGCATTTAGAAATGGGGCTAATAATGAAGAAAGATCAAGCAGAATATGCACTCTGGAATCTCACAAACTCGTTGTTAAAAAGTTTAAACCAGCATTAAATTAGTATGAAGACACTGCATTTTCTAGCACGTTTTTGCAGCTCAGTCTGAGTTGAATTTTTAGACAATAAAGCTTCATGAAAGGCAAGACCCAGGTTTTAGATTCAAATCATGCATGTAACTACTACAGTTACACTTATTGGTTATACTCTACAGGGATCATTAGATACAATAATTTAAAATCCCTAATAATGCTTTATGGAATCTGTAGCTGCCTACCATAATTTTTTACCTATTACAAAAGAGATTCTTCTCTCTTCTCCAGAATTGTGCTTCACCGCTTTTCTTTCCTTTACTGGGGTTCAGACCTGTAAGGTCTCTATGATTCAAATCTTTCAACCTCTTTCGGTCCAGCAGACCAGGAAAGAAACAACAGGGCAGAAGGATTCTGCAAGCTTTCTTCTAGCTCTACACCTGTGCAACACAAGTAGAATAGCACTATTTCCAGGAATAAATCCAGGACCAAGTGAAGAAACTAGACTACATATGCAATCGGAGCAGAAAAACTCAGAACATATTTGGCTTGTATTATATTACTGGTAATACCACACACAATTTCAGAAAATGAAACAAAAGTTTAAGAACTGAGAAACTGTTGTATCAATAAAGGAATGCAGTGCCTGTCTCTAAATGGTCTGCTAAAACATTGATTTAGAGACGAGCACTGGCCTGACTTACAAGAGAGTTATAAACCATTAACAATAACAAAAGGCAGTGACCACGTGAGCCACCAACAGCCTGCTTGTGCCCTGACGTTAAATGAGAAGTGTGTAGAAGCTAAATCATAAGTCTCAGAGTATGGCATGGCTTCATCCATATACCCAGTATATTTGAGCTGCTGAGCCAGTAACAGATGCTAACGCACATCTGTAGTTATTACATCAGAAAAACAGAACAAACAAGACTGCACCAGTACTTGAAATGCTGACAGACGAGTAGGGATGTGACAGCCTAGCAGCACAATCACAACTGACTTATTTTTGTTCCATGTTATAAGTCTGATTCGTCTAAACATCATCAGCCCAAGAACTAGTGTACCAAATCTAGCAGGAACCTGGCTTTTGAAATAAGTAGAGCAAACTAGACTCAAAATCCCTGCAGTACTCTGACATCACAGCAGTCAGTTAAAAGGTCAGGGTCTTTACGCTCAAGAAGGCCAGTCATTCAAAATCACCCTAGAAATACAGACAGAGACTTCGTGGAAGCCTGGACTTTCATGCAGAGGAGGATAATCTCAAATTGTGTGTGTGCTTGCCTCTCAACACAAGCTCAGAAAACAAAAGGGACAATAATTTGCTCTGACAAATCTGTGTCCTGGCATCAACAAAATAGTTTTTTCAGACCTCACAGCTCCTTGGCTCTTCTCACAGCCTCAGTCAGCTCTTGAGCTTAATAGACTTTGAAGAGACCTGTACTTAGCCATAAACCTTGAAAATAATGGTACTGAACCAGTAAATTCTGTAATCTTTCCTGGACCTCAGTCTGCTGGGTTTTACCCAGTGAACCAGCTACTGGGATTGCCACATAAGACACCAAACAGAGAAAGCCACATCACGCTAGCCTTCCAAAGCACAAAACTGCTCTCCTTAGTCTCCATACACTACCAGCAAGTGTGGAGCACTTACATTAGTTCGTGATTCATATCAGCCCATGCTTGAGCGCAGGATATCAGGAAGAGATTCATCACCTGGTGTCAGAGCTCAAACCCTAGAAGAACAGACACTGCGACCATCAAACAAGGCTTGCCTTCACTTCAGCCCATAAGGCCAGAGGGACCTACGCCAGAACATCAGAGAATTTTGTACCCTGACATCAGACCAGCAAGACAGTAGTGCTAAGCCAGAAATTCCAAAGGTACACAGACATTAAAACAGCAGGGTCAGATTTATTTATCCACAAGCCACACACAAGTGTGTGCTTCGACCTCAGCCAGCAAGATGATGTGCCAAGCTATGAGCTCATGTGGTGTGGGTTTGGGATCTGCCCCACAGAGCAGTAGCTGAGCATAGCTTCAATCAAAGGGACCACCTAGGGAGGAAGGTACATCTCAGCATGGATAAAGATGGCTCTCAGTCATCCTACCAAAGCCAAAAATAATGAACAAATGTTCCACAAAATCTAGCCAGTTCCTGCCAAGTGTTTTAAAAAAAAAAAAACAAAAACAAAACCCAAAAAAACCACCACACACACACACGCAAAAAAAGCAACACAAGAGTTGCTTTATTTTTTCTCATGGTGTAAAGCAGCCATTCACATGCTATAATTAGCCTTTTAAATGAGGTTTACTCTTGCATAACCCATATAGCACATGGGGAACAATAACAGAGGCTCTGATCTAGACATTCACAGGTGCCTGCAGCCTTCACATGGAGAAAATGTCACCAGGTGCTCACACACAAAGTTAGTTCAGCAAGCTGCATGTGCACGTGACTACACCCAGAGGCATGGTGCTAAATAAATATTTAAGCATTTCAGATGTTTCCTCTGAAATGGTCTTGAGCCCATCCCATTCTCTTTCATCTAAGTATTCATCAGACCCTTCCCCTTTGCTCATCGCTACAGCGACTCAGTGAGTAGACAGAAGGCAACGTTTTCCCTTCTTTCCCACAGAAGAGCTTGTGATCTTTATCACAACTGTGCCAAATGTTAAATAATAGCTGGTATTTGTCTTTGTGCTTCCTACATTCAATGCACTTTCAAAAGCAGTTATTGTATTGCCACTCCCAGTAATGAAAATCACGAGGTAGGTGCTTAAAGAAGGCTTAAAAAGACTAGCTTCAAAATCCTGTAAATTAATTCAAAAGCAAACTCATTTTCCTGTCCTTTGACATATAATTTATGAGCAGAAGGTATCACATCTAAGCTCTTGCGTATTACAGGCTGCTAACTTTCACCTGGTCACCTCAGCTCTGAAGTCAACAACTCATGTTTCATTGCTGTTTATCTGCTAGAAAGAGAGCTAGTTTTGAATGAAGACACAAAAGAGAAAATCTACCATTCGGTCACTATCACTAACAGCAAGGCTAGCACAAGACAGTACAAGGCCACCCTGTCTTGTAGGTGATTAGCATGTTGATTAGCACGGGAGACTAGAGAAGGGAGGCTGTAGTAAGTGCACTGCAGCAGCTACAGGGTCAGTACAGAGCTCCTCTCTCCTCCTGCTGCCTCCTAGAGCTCCCGATTCTTAATTAGACCACAAGGTTTCCTTATAATTTATGTAACTGGGAGTTTATATTAATTTACACAGATTTCTCCCTTACTTCTTGTTTGAGGCATGCCTTTAAAAAGCATGACTTTCCTCTGAAATGCAGTCCTAGTTTTCTTTCAGAACTTGATTGACGTTATCCTGCACACACAGAGAAGGATTAGTACCATACTTGTCACAGTGGCTTTGAATCCTGGAATAATTTTACTAACTTTCAGAGACTGATGAAGGGGTAGCAATTGCCATTTTGTTAAAATAAACTCAAGGGTAAGTAAACTATCTTACCTCAAATGAATACGCTTTTCCAAGCCCATCTCCGGCTCCTGTGACCACTGGAGAAAGTAAAAAGAAGAATCAGGATTACATTTATAGCTCTGCTTTAGCTAGTTCTTTCTTGAATTTTTAATCTTCATCATCCCTGTTTCTTGAACATTTCAGCCTAAATGCTTCTGCAAAAGCACAGAATCAGCCATTTTAATAATTTTTTTCCTTCTGACTTTCTCAGCTTTTAGTTACTTTGTTTGGCACGCTTTGTCTTCAAAGTAAAATCCCTGCCCACAGTAACTTATCTGATGCACTAGGTAGTTGTTACTCTTATTTTCAATTGAGAGACACTCAGCAACAAGTCAATTGCCTAAGAGGTGGGAGAATTTTCTTCCATATACATATTTTTACAAGTTCTGGTTTGCAAGTCTGTCACTTACATGCTGGTGACAGAATGGTAGGTGCTAAGGACTAACTGGTGGCCGAAACTGATACAACACTTTCTCACACATGAAATCTGTAGGTAAATAAACATCACAGCAAACTTATCACCATCTTCCTTCTTCCTTCAGAGCTGCCCTATTCATTTTACCTTTAGATTTAGTGTCACTGGGAAAGTAAACAAGCCTCAGCATTTGTAAAGCACTGTGAACTTTAAATGTTACGCAAGCAAACACTGAAGAGGAACTATAGAAAGAAAATCCTTACCACCTTATAGGTAAAGAAGAAACAAAAAAGTAAGAAACCACTAAAGCAATTCCAAGGTAAACCTGCCAAGTTTTCAGAGCAAAGTTGAAAACCAGTCAATATCTAAAAAATGTGGGTTAAAGACTTCTAAATTGCAAGAGACACTGGGAAAGCAAGGTGATCTTGAGTCGTTAAGATTCGTTGCCAAGAGAAGAGCAATTACTCTCTCATCTCACAGAGACAAGAGACCCCTCAATGAAGCAGCAGTGCATCTTTAGCTCTCCAGCAGACCAGCAGATGAAAAGCAAGAGTCTGTTGGAAAACCAGCTTCCATCTCTCAGCTTTAATTTTCAATACTCTCAGGATCTCATGTGCCATGTGATACAGCAAGTCATCCAAGCCTCATTAATTTTACTGGGCCCAGAAGACTTTGTGTTTATAAAAGGACAGAGCATAAAAGGTCCGCAGAAGGAAACAAGTCTCAGCCTTCAGTGGAAACAAGGATTTTACACTGAAAGTTCCACGCGCTGCTCCTCACCTCACGCACAGAACAGAGGTCGTTGCCTCACTTAAATCAAAATGAGACCTAAGTATTGCTTCAGAAGCAGCTGGTATTCAGGCAGGTCCTCTACGAAAGGGGGGATTTCATTTCTCATTAATCCACTGTGAGATCCGCTTATTAAACATGCACTCAATCCAGAAACATCGAGTCTCTAAAGTAGGGGGAAAGGAATGTAGCACAAGAGTACTGTTTGGGTCACTTCTTAACAAGATGCCATCATCAATGACATTTGTAGCCCAGGAACACAGACACTGTAGTACCTGTTTATTCTTGCTTAATACTGACAATCTAAAGAGCTTAAGAAAAACATCCGTGATCAGTAGGAAGAAGAAGGTGTTTATTAAACATTTCTGTTATTTTATGAGAATGTGTAATATCTTTTGAAAAGTACTGCCAAGTTGCAACCTTTGAAGTTTTTAGACTAGAGTAGATTTGGCTCGTTAATGATACCATTAAGGATAGGTCACCAACTCAGAAAAAAACAGACTGGAGCAAAGTCACCAGGAACAAAGAAAAGTTGCTTTGAAGAGTGCAGACCATATGCTAGACATAAACTAGTTGCTTCACATATCAGGAAACTGAGGATATAGGCAATGCTATTAAAACTAAAGCATTTGCAGTAGAGAAAAAACATCGGAACTAGGAATGGGGAGAGAATTCACATCTATACACCAGGCGCATGAGCTGTTAACAATTTGACTATTTTTCTATTCTCCCCAAGTCACGCAAAACCTTCAGGATCATAAAACCAAAGTTAAAAGGAGAAAACAAAAAGAAACAAAGCAAACTACACCTAATGGAAACTGTGTTTTGTTCTGAAGGGACAGGGTAAGGAAATGTAAGGAAAAGCTCTCCCGATCAGTAATGTAACAATCCATCACTCAGTTATCAGAAGAAGGTGAGGAAGTTTCCTTTACCTGCCCATTCTCCCAGCGATCGAAAGAAAGTCTGAGGCAAGGCACTCCAGCTATGTGGCAAAATATATTTCATAAATCTGATGCACTTTACCAGAGTACAGACACAGACCAGACCCCCAATAATAGTGAGCAGCTGATGCTGGAATGCTTCCATGGCGAGCAAAGGCAATTAGCCAGTATGAATCCGTCGCTCTCTCCCCGGGAAATGCCTCTTTCCAGCACGCTGCTGGTCTCTGAGCACTGGCAGAGAAGCGAGAAATCTAATCAAATCACGTGATTTTCTTTTGCTGAGGAATGTCCAGGGTTTAGATTAGAGTAGCATCTCTACATTACTCCCAGACTCATAAACTACTGAAAAAATCCAAACTAAACAATGATTTCTGGTGCCTGTTTTAAAGAAAAGGTTTCACTCCTTCTCTGGAAACTACCCAAGAACAAAAACAACAAAAAAATATTTTTATTGCCATTGTTTAGGATTCATAGAAACTAAAGATGGGTCTAAACCAAAACCCTGGATAAGAATACTCCAAACCTTGGAAATAACACACATCAGCACTATTTCTTACAGCGCTGAAGAGTTAAACTGTAGCCCAGACACTCCCAGGGCAAGTTCACACAGAACTTGCGAGGAGGCCAGAAAAATAGATTTATCTATAAATTCAAAGATAAAATAATGAAAGGTTATTAAAGTCACCTAATTATTTCTACACAGAGAAAGCAGTATTATAGAACTTTTCTAAGAGCTTTCTGAAAGAAGTTAATATCATTACAGACATTTTACAAGGGGATGTGATTATGGCATGAAAAAGTGAAGTAATCTATTAACAAGGGAACAGGACTTTCAGCTTTTCTGAACAAAGTATGTTCAAACTAGTATTAAAGTTCAGGACATGTATCAAAACCTTAAGCAGAAAAAACACTTACAAAAACAATATCTCACTGCAAGACAAAGACAAAATCAATGAAATTCAGACTTCACGTGACTGAAAATATTTTGAAAAGTCAACATACGGAATTTCTTAGGGAAGGCACAGAAACAACATTCACTCTTCTTTGTAGTAGCAATTTGAAACATCAACCATTTTTTAAAGATCAGTTTCCAGTGGAGAAGAGGAACACTGATGCTTACACATGCACTTAGGATAAAGTAAACCAAAACTTGTCTGTATATTTTAATTATATTCTTCCACATTTAACATGAATCATCTTTAAAATTTAACCTAAAAGTGACAGGTTAGGTTGACAGGTCACAGAAATCTCCAATTGAAGAGCAGCAATATAAGTGAAATATCATAATATCGACAACTTCAGCCAGAAAACCACAATGAGCAGATGCATTACAGAGTAAAGATGATGTCTGAATCGCAAGGAATCTGCCCCTCTACTCTGCTCTCGTGAGACCCCACCTGGAATACTGCGTTCAGCTCTGGAGCCCCCAACACAAGAAGGACATGGAGCTGCTGGAGAAAGTCCAGAGGAGGCCACGAAGATGATCCAAGGGCTGGAGCACCTCTGCTATGAAGACAGGCTGAGAGAGTTGGGGCTGTTCAGCCTGGAGAAGAGAAGGCTCCGGGGTGATCTTATAGCAGCTGTCCAGTACTTAAAGGGGGCCTACAGGAAAGCTGGAGAGGGACTTTTTACAAGGGCATGTAGTGATAGGACAAGGGGCAATGGCTTTAAACTGAAAGAGGGTAGATTTAGATTAGATATAAGGAAGAAATTTTTCACTCTGAGGGTGGTGAGGCACTGGAACAAGTTGCCCAGAGAAGTTGTAGATGCCCCATGCCTGGAGGTGTTCAGTGCCAGGCTGGATGAGGCTTTGGGCAACCTGGTGTAGTGGAGGGTGTACCTGCCCATGGCAGGGGAGCTGGAACTAGATGATCTTTGAGGTCCCTTCCCAACCCTAACCATTCTATGAATGTAACACTAACTGTACCTGTAACAAGAAGAAACAAAAATCATTACCATCTCAGCTTATCAACAATCCATTTTCCTCACATATAAGCGCTCTTAAAATTTCAGTATAACTACTGTTTGCTATACCATAACACTTCTTGTTTTACCCCATGAGTAAGATCAGTCAGATCAAAAAAATTCTGAATGTTAAATTTCAAGAGATATTTACATACAATCACAAATTCCCCAAAGAATCACTCACTATTCAAGGCATACTTTAAATCTGAACAAGTGGCACGGTGTTCTTCATAGGCAACAATGATTCTGAATACCTCCTTTAAATGAAAAAGAAACAAAGTCACTTCTCTTGACGGAGTCAAAATCCAAGCTTCCAGTTTTTTCTTTTGCACTCCCAGTTCTGCCCGTGCTCCATTGAAATTTTCTTTTCTGGAGGCTGGTAACAAGTCCAAGACACGCTCTCAGGCCAAGATACTGAGAGGAAAAGTAATAAACTATTATGAATGGGAAGAATTGTTCATCCAGCCCAGTCTTAAGTTTTTTTCCTGCGATAGATGCTTTGCTGACTTGCACAGGAATCATTGCAAGAACCTTACACATTGCATGGGTAGAAAACTTCTTTCAGCGATCACTGTACTTTTTCACTCTTAATCTTATTCCATTACATACAGCCCGCTGCTAAGCAATCCCTATAAAATTAAAAGTATGAACAGATCAACATACAGTACAATATTTCTTTCCCATACAGTTACAGTTTTTAAGTTTCTTTGTATGTTCCCTTGTAAACACACCTCGTCACCTGTAGAACTCAAAGTTTTAAAAATCTTGGACTGACTTCTGAAAATCAAGCTCTGTAGCTAGCAGCATGTAACCACAAGACACTTCTGTGAAGGAATGTGACTTTCAGCAGTCAATCCAATATTTCTTGAAACTAGCCTACCTAATCATTCTTTTGTGTGCTGGTTTTGGCTAGGATAGTTATTTTTTTCTCATGATAGCTGGTATAATGCCGTTTTCAGATTTAGTATGAGAACAGTACTGATACTACACTGACGATATCAGCTGTTGCTAAGCAGTCAAGGACTTTCAGCTTCCCATGCTCTACCAGGTGCACAAGAAGATGGGAGGGAGCATAGCTGGGGCAGCTGGCCCAAACTGGCCAACGGGATATTCCATACCGTACGACGTCATGCTCAGCATATAAAGTTGGAGGAAGAAGGAAGGGGGGACGTTCGAAGTGATGGTGTTTGTCTTGCCAAACTGTCACAGTACTCTGCTTTCCTGGAGATGGCTGAACACCTGCCTGCCGATGGGAAGTGGTGAATGCATTCCTTGTTTTGCTTTGCCTGCGTGTGCAGCTTTTGCTTTACCTATTAAACTGTCTTTGTCTTGACCCACAAGTTTTCTCACTTTTACTCTTCTGATTCTCTCCCCCATCCCACCCATGGGGGGAGCGAGCAAGCGGCTGTGTGGTACTTAGTCGCCAGCTGGGGTTAAACTACAACAATATGTATTCCGAAGACTAATGTTTTCTCTAACAATTTTCACCATTTTTCCAAAAGAAAGAAAAGAAAATGAAACTTCACACAGCAAGTAAGTCATCTAGCTTTACAACTGTTCTATATTTCATAAAGCTAATATGGAATCTGTAGAAAAGTAAGATTAGGACGATCTACAGATGTATACTAAGAGAAATCAGTTTTAAATTACTACTTTATTAACTGAAAGACACAATTACTGAGGTTATGAATGAAATAGCCGTTTCCATAACTGCTTAAATTCTAGCACAACAGTTGTGCCTAGTTGAGCCCACATTTCCAGTTTCAACCAGAGTTTTACTGGAATCAACATTATCTCCGCAGATACAGAGGAAAATAGTGACTGAAGCGGAGTGGCTTTGTGAAAGGATGTAAGCGCTTGCAAGTTTTTCCAGTTAATATCTACTTTTGGCTATTCCTAGATTTGTATTTTAGATTATTCTGAGTAATACCATCAAAAAGACTTTGGGAATCAGGTCTGTATTTTAGGTGAGAAGCCTAAATCTGAAAGACTTGAAATACATGACATGAACAATGAACTAAATCCAATCACTTCCACTACAGTACAGAATGAACTAATGAAACTACTTCAAGTACAGTATAGTAGTTGATCATACAGAAAGCAAATATTCATGCTCTCCTTGTATGCTTAAAAGCATTTTACGTGTCCATCCACAGAAATAAAAAGGAAAACTTGTTGAAACTATAATCTGCATCTCTTTATTTATAAAATGTAAAGCAAAATATTAATTAATTAAATGCATACAGTGACTGTTCCTTTGTGGGAACTACATCTTATTTAGCAGGTGCCATTATGCGTCCATTCATATTGCAATCAAATGGTTTTAACAATCTTTTAGTAATTAATGAAAACCTTCCAAAGCATTGTCCCACTGCAGAGAGATGAGGTTCAATAATTAGGATTCTGGAGGTAGAGATGATCTGGCAAAAGAGGAGTCCTATAAAAGAATACACTCAAAAATATCAAAGGCTTTTCAAAGATAAAAGAAATCTTAAAAACAGAGGATCTCTAAAATATTTGCAGCAACCCCTTCTCAGCTCTTCAATAGGCAGAAAATGAAAGTCACATCTCTTAGCCAGCTGTGAGAAAATAGGTAGCCCAGACTTCTGTTTCCACTTTGACTATGCCCTTAAATTCCACTTCTAATTCCTGCAGTCACTCCTTCTTTTGCCACTCAAATCCACACAGACAGTGGGCAGCCCAGTCATTACCTGAAGCTTCTGGTGTGAACTACTCACATGTTTCCTGGATTTAATCCAGTCTGGTCATTCACATGTTACTCACAGAATAATGCTTTACAGATTTAGCTGTATTTTAATTCAAGCAGGGATAAAACAAGTCATTAGATCACCCTGGCTCCATGTCAAGTTCTTCCAAAATCTTATTTTGATGTTATTATTTTAAAAAATCTTGGCTCATGCTTGCAGGGATTTGAAAACTTCAACAAGATTAATTACTCTGCTGTCCTCCCGTGATGCAACGCTTCTATGGAGTTTTCAAAGATTAATGGTGTATCTTCAGACACATAAGTAAGCATTATCAACTGTATTTTCAGAGAGAAAAATAAAGATAACAGAGCAGTGCCATGACGGAATCCTGGCATGTATCAAAAACAGTGTGGCCAGCAGGAGCAGGGAAGTGATTGTCCCTCTACCCTCAGCACTGGTGAGGCCACACCTGGAGTACTGTGTCCAGTTTTGGGCCCCTCACTTCAAGAAGGACGTTGAGGTGCTGCAGCGGGTTCAGAGAAGGGCAATGAAACTAGTGAAAGGTTTAGAGAACTTGTCCTATGAGGAGCAGCTAAGGGAGCTGGGACTGTTCAGTCTGGAGAAGAAGAGGCTCAGGGGGCACCTTATCGCTCTCTACAATTACCTGAAAGGAAGTTGTAGGAAGATGGGGGTCAGTCTGTTCTCCCACGTTATGAATGACAGGACAAGAGGGAATGGTCTCAAGTTACACCAGGGGAAATTTAGATTAGATATCAGGAAGAATTTCTTTACAGAGAGGGTTGTGAAGTATTGGAATAGGCTGCCCAGGGAGGCGGTGGAGTCCCCATCCCTGGAAGTGTTTAAAAAACGTGTAGATTTGGTGTTAAGCAATATGGTTTAGGGACCCTGACAGTGCAGGGTGTATGGTTGGACTCGATGATCTTGAAGGTCTCTTCCAACCAGATGATTCTATGATTATTGTGCCAGACCACGACCCAAACAATCAGGTATCAGACCTTTTTTTGGATCAGCCTTGCCCACTGCAGCAACACCTTGGGTTTGTTATGATTCCTTATTCTGAATTTTAAGCATGAACTGTACCAGATAAGCTTTCACTGTGTATATAAGACACAATAAGACACTGATCTTTTCTCCTCATTTAAACACAAGTTAGTCTTCTACATATCGATCAGTTTCCCCTCTTGTAGTTTGCATATAGAAGCATCACTTCTCTGCAGCATTAAAAGGTAATTATAGACAAAATATCAGAGAAGGGGACTGTTATATAAAAAGACAAATGTACCTAAACAAAAATAGATTTATTTTTGTTATCCCGCCTGATTACCTGTTTGGAACTGGCTCATGCACTAAAAAGTATTTTTAAATATAAAAAATCTTCTTGCAATTTCCTTCTGTCTTTGACGCTGTGGCAAGTTATGAGGGTTCACTTACATCAACAGTGACAACTGCAGCAGTACACCATGATGTTATGGAGGATGAGGAAAAGATTGACAGAGAAAGTCTACTCGATGCATACTGAACACACTAGGCCATATCCTGAATTCTTCAGTCAACACTTACACAGAGAACAATCTTGGGGCACAGCTCCTCTTTGCCCCATACGTTCTGCAGTCACTTACACAAAAGGAAATGCGTACGTGGTATCATTCTGAATCACTAGCATGTTTCGTCTCTTCACTGATACCAAAGATTGCACAAGGCATATGGCAATGATGAATCAAGCCTCACGATCCTTACAGGCAGTTTTGCCTCAGAGAGTACTGGCAGACACTGAAACAGAACAAATAGCACCAAAGCACAGGTAAATGAAGAAATTTACAATCTGAGATTTGCTCATGGCGTTCCTTCTTATAAATTAGCTCATGCTGTAAAAAAAAGCTAAAATTAAACTTCTCCACATGTAAAATCATGGTGTGCAAGAATTTTCTGAACGAATTAGTTGTGTGCACATCTGTGGCAACTGAGGTAGATTTTTCTTTTTTCTTCTTCCAAATACGTTCCAGCATATACTTATTTAAGTTCTCAGGAACGATAAAGAAACTTATATCTTCGGTCTCTTTCAAGACAGGTATTTTGGCTAACTCTTTGCCTCAGGAAGTGCGTTCTCTTCATCCTCAGGTTGTGTAGGCTTGCTATTTCCTCTTAGGGTCAAAAACGAGTATCTCAGTCCTCCTGCCATACTAAAGCAAAGAGAAGGGACACAGGTGTTAGAGATACCTAATGCTGTATATACCATTTTACAGGTATGAACCTTTCATTCCAAAGGATTAAAGAATGCCAGCTAACATAAATTAAGAGTGCCTCAGAGCTATGTAAGCCATCTGAGAAATGAGCCCCAAGTAGACAAAGATCAATTACCAGTTGCTTCAATAGATTTATAAAAAAAGACGTAGCAGTTCACCCAAACACAAAAAGTGACAACTTACAAGTCATAACTCATATTCAACGAGCACAACTCGTTCAGCATTCTCACTTCCCACACCACTTGGCTTTTACTTGGAAGCCTCACAGCTCAGAACTGCTGCTCATAAAAAAAGAATGAACTCAATCCCACATAGTAAAACTACAGGCATGTCTCCATAGTTAAGATTTTACCATAGTAACATTCAGTATTTGAAAACAGACATGAAAAGACATAACTAATTGTAATGAACTTTAGATCCTGAGGCAGTGCATCCTCAAGCCAGTAGCTTCAAAATTCCATCACTCAAGTGGGCCAAATCAAACATAACATAAAATTGTATCTCCCTGACAAATCTTCAGCTTTAACAAATAAAAGCTATTCAAGTTCCACTCACCAAATATTTAGCCCTATGAAGTTTAACACAGAGAATATGTAATCTCCACCAATCAACATTCCGATGTAAGCAATGGATATATTCTGAAAGGAAACAAAAGCCATGCATTTATTGAAGTCAGTTTTCATCTCCAAGAATATAAATGATATCAGTTCATTTACTTTCTAAGGAAATAGCTATACTCTGTTGCTGGCCACTCTAAAACCAGTGTTTAAGTTAGCTTCACAGGATGTCAGCCTTATGGGTAATGTAACAGCGGAACAGAACAATAAAATCAGTATGTTTTCTAAATGCGTGCAATGCACTGAGAGTGACTTTATGGGGGAAAGAAAGAAAAAAAAAGAAGAAAATCAGCTATTTGATGTTGGGTAAAATGAAGCTATGTCCACCTTCTGAAAACGTACTTCTTTTTAATCTTTGGAAGGCTCATTTCAAGTCCTATTTCTTAAAAGCAGGTTTTGGGTTCTTAAGCATACAAATTATGCTTTAAAGTTACAATAAAAGCTCTTTACTATTGCATTAAAAGGATTACCTCCTTACTTTGCCAACTAAACGTGTACTGAAAGCACTTGGCTCAAGTTCAAGGCAGGCACAGTTTGAAGTTAAAAGATTCTACCCCTCACCTCGTCTCCAACAAGTTTTGGGAAAACTGTCCCCTATAGACAGAAGGAAAGCTATAGAACTGTGCGATCATTTTACCAACACTTTGTTGGTGTCCAATATTTTACCAGTTAGCCTGGACAATGACATAATTTCTACCAATTTCTAACTGGGGACTATTGCATCATAAAGTGCTTCTCAGCTTTAAAGCTATTCAAAATGTCTCAAAGACTAATTATTATGCAGAAAACAGAAATAGTGTTCCTCTATCTTAACGGTTCAATGAAGACATATAAAATTTAAAAGAGCGCCTTCAGGACCACAAAATGAAAACTACGAGATTAATCTTGCCAGCTTTCAAAAAAAAAAACCAACCCAACTGTAGAAAGGGACGTACCATCTTCTTTCACGGATTTTGCTATGCTGGAGGTATTGTTTTCCTTAGTCATCCATGAAAGGGAGCATGCTGAGGACTCTTATTCTTGTGCTAAGCTAGTTTGGATTCTGATAGCTGTTTGGCCCACAACTGCGTAAGTTTTATCTTTTGCTAAAACTCTTCCAGCTTACAGCTCCATGCTTCTCTCCAGATTGGCCTACAAAAAAGTGCTTGTGCAGTCAGTGATCTTCCCAGCTCAGACATGTTGGCCTTATCGACACAAAGGAAGGTGCACTGGTTGTAAATTACACTGGCTTAGAGAAAGATTGTAATGACATCAAGGTCAGTTTTTAAGATAGGCATGTTTTGGTGCTGATTAAATTCACCAAAATTTATACAAACCATCATGAAATAGTCTATTCAGCTACAGCACAAGTTCTCACAGAGAGACAGAGGCAGTTAACCATAAGGAAACAAACTCCTTACTTAGCCATTATTCTACCCATGAATGCCCTATTTAGAAGCAGCAACAGCCAACTAGTGAAAGTGGCTTAAACTGTATCAGTTTGCAATGGATTTGCACCAGGCTACCTTGACTAACTCAAACAGAAGCAGGTGACAGTACCTGGTGAAATGTGGTTAAATGTACATCTTTTAATTAAATAAAAATAAATCAATGCTCACATTTTTTTCTAGAGTATACTTGAGCTTCAGTGGAAGAAAACATGGTCGCTTTTTTGAGTGGATCTCCAAATAGTATGGCACAAGCAGTGTCTCAGCATTAGCCCTCATTTTGAGTTTCCAGCTCAACGGATAATCAGGATCACTGCTGAGTCAATGCTCTTCCCTATTTGAGAATTCTCATTTCCCTCTTCTCCATAACTCACCTTGATGGCACCAACTACTGTCGTTGTAAGCGCAGAATTGTAATGACTGCATAGGACAGTAGAGTACATCAAGAGAAACCTAAATAAAGCAGAGGAGAAAATTTTGTCAGTTCCTCCCAGGGAGCTCAGATGTTTAGGAACACTTTGAAACGTTCAACATTTTCTGGATCGATATTTTGCTGGGATCTTCAATCCCAGCTGTTTCAAACTCTAAAAGAAAAGATTCTGTGGATTTATATTTTAAGTTAATGATGTGCTTATAAGGAGTACTCAAAACACACATTAAAATGTGCTGCCTGAGCTCTAGCAGAGTCATCCCTATTTTCTGTGCTGCTTAAATGTCAGTATTTGAAGTTAGTTTGACCCCTCTGTTTGCGACGTGTGAAAGAGCAGAAAAGGACCCAACTCAGTTTTTTGTTCTTACTTTGGCTCTGCAGTCCCAACAGGAACAAAGCGTTGTTTCATTATTTTTGAGTCTCCCATATTTTTCCAGGTACTTTAAAGAACAAATGCACTGGAGCAGTTCCTATACTAAAGGGCTTACATTCTACTAACTGTAAGGAAGAAGTTGGATAATCAAAAGAGATGGCCAGCAGAGAGATACTGAAAACAGAAAATAAAAAGCCAAATGTCACGTTGTTGGCCTGTATACTTGTGAAGTCAAGAACACAGATAGCACTGAAACAGTTATTTACACTACTAGAAATAATTAAAAGACAAGACAGAAGCCTGGGGGAAAAACATATTTTCTTTTACATAACTTATTAATAAGCCTTACATTTGAGACCTGCAATTTGAAACACTGTCATTAAAATGTCTTACTTGATTGCCCTGTGTCCTTACCCCAGCAAGCAGGAAAGAAGAAACTGAAAGACAAATAAAAAATTTGTCCAGTGCTGGAAATGTGTTGCCTATTAAGAAAAAAAGACAGAGTGAGAATTATGTGCCATACAATCAACTGTAAACACATACAAAATACAGTTAATATAAAAATTTGCAAAATCACAAAATATATTTGATTTATATTATGATTACAAAATGTTTACGTTACTACTAGAAACAGTTTGATGCATTTAACTTCAGAGACAACAGGACGACAGCACCCATGATGCCTAGATACATTCTTGTAACATACACAGCAGTACAGACACAAACTGCACACTGCAAGCAAAGAATACAAATACAATACAGAAAATCTGTATTTTTCTATTTATTGATACAGATACCAACACTGTGATTAACATCGGATAATAAATAGTGTTGATATCGAAGTGAAAAACAAATAAATTAATAATCTCCTTGAAAACTATTTCATACCATAGATTAATTCACAAACAGCTTTCAAGGTCCAAGTCTGCATTTTTGAGCTCGAAAGTACATTAAATTAGCATTACTAAGGTCTCTCATCAATGTAGGTCAATGAAAATGCTACATCATCACTTTGAAGTCTGCTCCTCTAGTAACTCCAGGATACACCTCATTTTATCGGGTTAGTTTAAAGTCACCTGTATCAGCACAAAACTCGGGAAAAGCTGAACACATCCCTGAGAAACAGGGTAAAGGCTTTTAGTGCACGCTGAGCCACGGCTAGCTGAGCCTTCAGCACCTGAGGTAATACATTAGAGGGATTTTGGGCAGCTCTGTCCTGCTAGAACTGTGCTGGTGTGCAACAACGAACTGCAAAGTATTACAAAGAGACATTCCGGGGCTCCATTTCTCTTCCATTAAATCATGCTTTTCTGTCCTCCTAGTCGTCCAGCTGGTGAAGGAGAAGTGAGTAACTGGGACACTCACACGCCACAGCCTCTACAAGATGTGGTAGCTACCTCTCCAGAGCAAGCTAGAGGAGCAGAAGCAATCTCCCTATCGCATAGATAGTATACTGATATTTTGACTGGCAAAAGGTACATGCTGTGCATTGTCTGTGATGGATCAAGGCAAAAATCTCTGCTAAGGTAAAAGCAAGCCAACTTCTATGGCCTGAAAATCAGTTAAATACAGGTGTTATCTATGACAATTTGCTAACTTTTCATCAGTATTTTTCCATTTTCTACCTTTTTTCTGCGATTTAGTCTCTGTGCATCATGCTGACACTAGTTATCCACATCACTTAAAGGGACTTTTAATATTAAGTGACAAAGCCAATGCATATGCACAACAGGCACTATGCATTTCTTTGATTTTTTTTTCAGGTAGGTGGGCACTGAAATCAACATGTGGGCACAACACACGCTTAATTTTTCAGATGGAATAAATCCAGCAACAAGGTAAATTTCCCTTTTCAGTTCTCCCCAAATGCCTCCAGCCATGACTGCTGGGAAAGCAGTTGAAATCTTACAGCCATATAAACTTGGCCCTCACTAAGCCTGCCAGGAAGGGCATCAGCTGCGTTTTCCTAAACCGGCACAAGGTCATGCTGGACTAAGATCACAGGAAGAGATTTCACACTCAGAGCGGACCTAAAGCCATCATTTTCCAGGGAATGACAACTTTTCCACTTAAAGCGCACTTGTAAGAACACAGCAACAAAATCATGTGAGTCAAGGGCACAAAACCATACAACAAAAAACACTGGAATGACACCCATAAGCTCTGTAGTTATTTTCAGTGGCAAATCTCAAATCTCATTTCCAAAACACAATATGAGTCTCTAGACATTTTACTGGTAAGAAAAAGGCAACTCAGCAAGTCTGTGAGGGAGCCAGAAAAACAACACAATCCTCCTGGTGTGATACTTTACATGCCAGGACAGACTGCCCACAGTATTACACTGTATTTATTACAATTAGCTACGGAGAGTCATGCTGTTGTTCTGTAAAAATGTAAAACGTAGGTTACTAAACTAGACTGAGACTAAACAGAAATCTGTTCTGTGCATCAGAATGAGAGAAGGACTGGAAATTGTCTGGTTTTGTATTTGCAGTCTCGTTTTAGACTATGCGGCAAATCACACTGTGCAGCTGGATTCCCAACCAATTGCTTCCGATGAGAGTCTCTAGTCGTACATTAGTTTTTAAACACACTCATATAAGGGCTATCACAGAGCTTCGGCTTCTCCTCAGAGTGAATAATTACAAGTTCTAACCTGTGAAGGGAAGTCATAAAATGGATTGGGTTGGCAAGGACCCTGAAGATCACCTAGTTCCAGCTCCCCTGCCATGGACAGGTACACCCTCCACTACACCAGGTTGCCCAAAGCCTCATCCAACTTGGCCTTGAACACTTCCAGGGATGGGGCACCCACAACTTCTCTGGGCAACTTGTTCCAGTGTTTCACCACTCTCATTGTAAAAAATTTCTTCCTTGTATCTAATCTAAATCTATCCTCTTTCAGTTTAAAGCCATTGCCCCTTGCCCTATCACTACATGCCCTTGCTAAAAGTCCCTCTCCGGCTTCCTTGCTGGCCCCCTTTATGTACTGGAAGGCTGCTAGAAGGTCTTTCTGGAGCCTTCTCTTCTCCAGGCTGAACAGCCCCAACTCTCTCAGCCTGTCTTCACAGGAGAGGTGCTCCAGCCCTCTTATCGCCTTCGTGGCCCTCCTCTGTCACATACTTCAAATACTAGTAACTAAGATGGAGGTAGGATTACCTCTTTAAAAACAAACAAACAAAAAACCCCATCCACTCCCTCAACTGGCAAAAATGAACAAAATACTGTTAACAGTCTGAGGCATGGAATACTGCTCCTTACCTGCTGAAAGTCTCCAGTAGAAAAGCTAATAACAACTGTTGGAACCACCATGAAACAAGCATTGTAGAAAAGGACACCATATTTTCCCAACTCCTGTGAAAAATGAAACATGGTGTTCGGAATTACAAGCCACTTGGGAGCAAAATACTAAATATTACTCTGGCAATCCTTCTGACATTATTGTCAATGAGCAGACAAACATAATACAGTTCAATTCAAAATACAAGCCTGGGATCACTGGATTTGGTGTTTAGTACTGAACTAAGTTCCCATTTCAGTCACTTCCTGTGTTCATCAGAATATTACTGCTCTGCTATACCTCGAAAAGTTTCTATACAACACCAGCTAGTCAGAAACTTCCCAAGGCACTGGTCCAGAACCGCTTTGTGTTAGACTGCAGAGAAGTCCCTGCATGGCCAAAAAACTACCCATTCCACCTACTGCAAACCAACCAAAAAAGCATAGGGCAGAGTGGCTCCCTGGGGCTAGTACTGCAGGAAAATTAATGAAGCCTGACTCCTAGCTGGAGCATCTGTAATCCCTGGTAACTCATGTAACTTCAAGCAACTTGAGGGATGCCATATATCCTGTTGGTTAACTTGATTGACACAAAGGCAGAATAATGCAAAAGCAGCCTTCCTTCCTCGAGATTCAGCCATGCTACATAGTAAATATCTCCAGTTTATCTCTTGCTTTAAAATGAAACCCCACATTTTGCAGAAACTTGCGAGGCCATTAAATGCTGCTCATAAAGAAAAATATGGAGTCTGGATTCGATGTGACTCCTGAGATTATTAAAGGATATTTATTTCCACTGTACAGACTGACCCACAAAAGTCAGTGACAAAACCTCTATCCAGCATCTCCAAGACTGCTCTTTGCTACAGCTTGATGTGTTTTCATGGCTCCATATTTGAAGAGCATTCTGCTCAACGTTTATGAAAGTATACTGTACCAAGGTATGGCCTAATCTTTGGCATACCTCGGTTTGGTGCAGACATGCTTTTAGATAGACAAAAAAGGTATCAGTTGTTACTGGTTTTGACTCAAACTGGTCAGATCTCTGTTCCTACCCACAAGCTTATTTGACATAAGCCTCACTTGAAGTGTGTTTCTAGTCAAAAAGTCATCTTCCTTTGATATATGTATAAAGTTTGCAGGTAAAAAAAAAAGCTTTTGGTTTGGATTTATTCTATTTTTTAGCCCAAACCAATGTTTTAAAGCCAATACAAACTCTGCCTAGAAGACTAAGGAAAAAAATAAAATACACTGTTTATCTAAGCCCGGCCTGAGATAATAATGTTTTTTCCCCGGGGTGTTCTGTATTAAGGATGCATGCATCAACTGAAGCACGAAAGCAAATGAAATTATTTATTAGTTCATAACTGTGTGTTCATGAAATCATATTGTAAGTAACGATATTGTCATAATGTTAAATTCAATCTAATCCCCCCACAGTCACCTTTGGGTCGATTTTCTGCTTTGTGTAAACTCCATTTGCTGCTGTGAAGATATCATTTAGCAATACAAATGTGTAGCCCTCCAGATTAAAAGACAGATCAGACCTAGGAAATAAATATTGTATTGTAAATAAGCAATAAGTATACAATGCATTGCACTACCTTGTTCACGAAGAGAAGTATCATAAATGAGGAAATGCAAACCCTGAGAACATCAGCAAGTCACAGGTTTTGCTTTAAGCAAACGCGTCATCAGAGAGTTCCCACAACTCAGTGTGGAAGTGGCAGGAAATGTTCAGTTTTCATTTTGTGAAAAATTCCATCTGTTTCAGTCCTGACAACATGTCTAATTACTACTGAGTATACTTATATATTTCTTTTAACACAAAAAGGAGCTAGGGAATAAAGTGTGACTACTTGTTTTTTACAGTCAGACCAGACATATTGTCATCCTTTCTGGTTTGACTAGTTGCCTCGTGGATATAGGGTAATTCATTTAATAAGACATGGCTCTATCCGAGTCACATCACATGGAAATCACATACTTTTGTATGTAGCAAAGCCAAGAAACGAAAAATACCATTACATTTCCAGTTAAGTAAAGGAATACCCAAACAGAAAAAAAAACACCAAACACAAAACAAACAGAAGAGACTAACATACGAGTGCTTTGGGAACTTAATCTCACATTTGAACTTGTTAAAAGTAATCAAAAAAATAGATGTTGCCTAACTCAAAACAGTATTTGACAATCAAAAAAGATCAGTCTTTTCACCCAGAACAATAATACGGTTTTCTAAGATTATTAAAATATACTGATACTATGAAATAAAAGCAGCATTCCTCACACAGTTCTAACTTGTTTCATTTACAATCATCTACAATCCATTTACAATGGAAAACCCAGGGGGGGAAAAAAAGCGCAGCACCCAAACACTTTCATCTGGAGTTCAGTTTTTCTTTTTGTATTCCTGCACCTCCCAATGATGTCAGTAGAGAGATTTCCCAAATCAACAGAGTAACTGATCTGAACTTAGGTTTACTTGGCACTTAACAAGGAAGAAAATCCTCCTGTTGTCTCTCCTCTCATAACATGACTTCGTATAACAAATGAAAACCTTACCCAGCTGCTATGAAAGCCCCAAGAACGATGGCAAATACGCTGACTACAATACTCAGTGGGTACCGTTTCCTGTAGACAAAAATCGGACAGTTCACATTTTCATTATTTGAAGAGGAGATTAAATGGCTGTCTGCCTGAAAAGTTTCAAAGCAATTAGCAACCACAGAACATTTAACAGGAGGGCACAGCCTTGATAACCTTACAGAAGCAATGTGATTGACTATGTGCCAAGCTGTCAGACTTTGGCCCTGAGAACAGAGACTGAAAAAGGATTGTGAGCACTCTGCTGCTAGATAACTTTGAGAGTAAAGATTAAAGATTTCAAGTAACAGTGCTGGAACAAACTGTAATTTACGGTGTATTGGTATTCATAACGGACATATTTTAGTGACTTCCAGTAATCCAATAAAGGAAAATCACTACACATCCTTCGTGTAGTTTTTCATCACACCTTTCTTGGGGAAGATGTTGTACAGCACACAGCTATTTTTCAAATAGATACTTATTTTGAAGTCAAACTGGAATGTTGTACTTGGAGGGGAAAGCACAGAAGTTTATTATATTCTTCAGTACATCTACATCAGCATTGCCACAGAGTAGGGAAAAGCATACCATAAAAACATCCTGCTTATTATACCTGTATTACTGTATTTAGAAATGTCTTCAGATTTTGCACCACACTGCAACATGCCTTACAGACATTCCCCTACTCTTTCTCTCTCAGGATCCCCCAGCTCTGAGCCGGCCGTGAGAAAAGATCCATCAAAACGAAATGTACAACGCTCTCAGAGAAATCCTGTGTGTCAAAGGAGCGCAGATGTGGACCACTGTCCCAGCAACAAAGCTGTATGCAGTCTCTAGATATATTAGGCCTTGATCATAATGAATCTCAACAGTAACAACCCAAACCTTGACTACTTTTCAAATCCTGAGGTAAGCCAGCGTAGAGTCTCTGGAGTCCTTTCATTTTCAGCCCTGAGGAAATACACTGTGGCAGTCTATATGAACAAAGCATTCTGCTCTTAAGCTTCCCTTAAGTTAGGACGTTGCTTGTCTCATACATCACATTGCTGTGGTCCAGCTGAGAACTGATGACAATCTCACTGGCTCACATTTTCCTCACTTGCTTGCAGGAAGCCTCAGACCAACAGGAGAAGCAAGTTCTGCTTTCCCTGAGTGAACTTACAACTAGAAAAGAGTCCTGGAGCATCCCCAAACATGCACCACATTGATCAACTGCTGTTTCAGCCAAAAGGAGATGCCCATCTACTTGGAGGCTTTTTGGAAAGCTTTTCCCCTGACCATCACTCTCACATTGCCCAGGTTCAGCTTCAGCAAGCTTTTTTTCCACCTTGTGACCTCACCTTATCCAAGCAAAAGCCATCTGGATAGAACTATGACCGTGCCAAAGTATGATGTATTTATACTCCTGTCCTTCCAAATCGGTACAACCGGAAATAGTGATCCCGTGCTGCCATAGCGTATACTTCTTAATTTATCTTTAAAAATAAGTGATGTATCTATAATCAAGGAGTTTTCTGATCTAACAGCACCCTGCCAGATATCATTTTTCTTCATTAAACTGGACCCAGAAAGCTACTCTACATGAGCAGACTGCTATACTATCATCACTGTTTTAAGAAATAAGGATCCATCTGTCTGAAGCCGTTTGCAGCTTAGGGGCCTCTGAGACAAGACACAAACCACAATCGCTGAAAGAAGTGTCTGAGTCGTGCTCTGCTTACCTGATTCCTGTGCAAGAGCGAAGAGAACGAGCTGTGTAAATGAGAGCAAGCTGAATTTCTTTTCCTGTAGTCATTAAAGTGTATGTATGTATGTTTTTTAAAAAAGCTACATAAAATCACTTTCTTTGGTTTTCTCTGTTTCTCAGTAAAAAGCACTAATTCAGTATTCTGATGAGATGCCACAAGTAATCCATTCGATAGGATATAAAATAAAGGTATCTTAAATGAAAAAAAAAAAAAAGGATCACCCAAGTATGATGATTTCCAGCAGTAAAGTAAGTGGAATGGTAAACTTCCTGAGCACTGTAAACATCGGCAAACTGTAAAAAAAAAAATAAAATCCAAGCACAGCATCAGATTAATAGCATTTTTATGTTCAAATTCTTATCTAATTTACCAAGCAGGGGATGAAACTATTAGTCCAGCAATTAGCAACCAAAACAAATTCCTAGCCACTTAGCATACATTAAAAAAATGTCAGTCTGACACTAGAGACAGATTAGATAACCAAATCATTGAAAAACAACAAGATTTGCAAGTTTGTAAAACAATGCAACTGGCTATCGTCTAAAAAGCCCCTCTGCATTAGTGAAATGAAATATAAAAGCTATTTACTGCCTAGCATAGCCTTTATGAAAGAATTCTTCCTGTAGAATTCATGGGCAGGTTAACTAAAAATTATTTCTATTGTAAACCTAAAGGACAAACAAGAAACCTATCTCTAAAAACATAAAACAGAAATAAAATACAAACCAAGCATGCTAAGTAAACACGCTGTACTTTCAAAAAAGTAAAATAAATACACAAGAAAAAAAAAAAGAAAAAACAACAGAGAAAGTACAAGAAACATCAAAGGTGGGACCAGCTGCAACTACCAAACAAACAGCTACTTTTGAACAACATATTGCTGGTCTACAGGAAGTAATGCAGCTGGAAACCTTTTTGATTAATTTGAAAAAACACTTGCATCTGACACTTTGCAAATTTGACAGCATGACCGTATGGACCAACTAATCCTCTGTTTAAGTTTAAGATTAACTCCATTAAATACAAATCCTAACACAGAGTTTAATCACTCTACAACGCCATTTCTAAGTTATGCATAGGATCATCTATACCTTAAAGACAACCCAAACAAGGTGGAAAATCCATACGTAAACAAATGTCACACAATGTAACAAAACACAATGTAACAAAATGTTAATGGAAGAAACACTGCAGCCATTCTTACTTTTGTTATAAAAATCACTTATGAATAGTAAATCTGAAAGAGGTATGTCAGTCATAGGAGGGGGAGATGGTGCACTTATGTCTAAAATAACCTAATAGACTTGTTGTTTTAAAATTACAGTTAGAGAAACAGGGGAAAGAGGAACCCATGAATCAAATTTTTACAGGATTGAAACTTCCTCCATATTTATGTCAGCTGCTGTGCTACCAGAGACAGTACTGCTGAAGTCCTTACATCTGCCCGAACAATCACTTCAGCGGAACTACTTCTGAATGAAATGAAAGCTTTTTAGAAAGGACAGGAAGGGGAGACGAGGAGGGGGTGTTGCTCTCTACGTCAGCAACCGGCTGGAGTGCGTGGAGCTACACCTGGGGTCGGAGGAGGAGCTGACAGAGAGCTTATGGGTCAAGATTAGAGGACGGGGACGGATAGGGGACGTTACGGTAGGAGTCTGTTACAGGCCACCTGGCCAGGAGGACAGAGCAGATGAGGCGCTTTATAGCCAGATAGGAGCAGCCTCGCGGTCACAAGCCCTGGTCCTCATGGGGGACTTCAACCACCCTGACATCTGTTGGAGAGACAATACGGCAGAGCACGGGCAGTCCAGGAGGTTCCTGGAATGC